AGGTGTTTTAGCAACTTGTCTGCAGACTCCATCTCTGACGCGTGTAGTGCAATGACGGGTGCACGGGTAGCGCAATGATGTGTGACTTTTCTGTGGATGATTTGTTGGTAGGAACAATCTGCATGCACACCAGTTTGTTCCAAGCTTAAGAAATGTGCAGTAAGGCAGGTGCTGTGTTCCCCCTGCATCCATGCATGGGCCAGCATGGTTCTCTGAGAACTTGCAGTATGATTCTTATTTGCATTAATTTTGTGCCAAATTTTGTGACTAAAATTCCTGTATGGTTGAGTTTCATGACTAATTTCCCAGTAGAGCAGCGCACCTAGCTCGCCTCGTGCCCTTTGGGGCAGGGATGTGACAGTTTGCTGCATCCTTCCTGCTCTTTGCTCCTTTGCAATGCAGTGTGAGAAGACAGGGAAGGGCAGAGTGTGACCCGGTTTGGACTCGGCAGGACTCGGCACACGAGCGTCAGCTCCTGTGAGAGCCACGTGCAGGGCTGGGCAGCCCCGCGATGGAAACTCAGGGTGTAGAGGCTGCTCCGGTGCTTGAGCACACTCACAGGGAGAGCTTTTCCTGTGCTCGTGTGGAATCGGGGCCCGTCGGGCTTGTGGGGCTGTCAGGCGTGTGCGTGGGTCTTGTTGCTGTTTGGATTTTGTCCTCTGCTCCGAGCGCGCCCGGAGCAAGGGGAGCTTCCCGGGAGCCGCGGCCGCCCGCGCCCTGGATCAAGACCGGTTGCAAAAAGGAGAAGGGGGAAGGTGGGTTGGAACAATAAATACGTTTAATTGTAGCCTCGCCTGGGTTTTGCATGAAGTCAACAGGCTTTGCAGTTGCTGCGCTTGCCTCCAGCCTTTCTAAATAAACACACCGAAGCGGGGCTGAAAAGCTAAGTAGTGCGGAAAATTGCAGAAAGTTAAATTTTAATATCCTGCAAGAATTTCGAGGCTTATTGTAGTGGCCAGGTGCTGGGATTAACTTTTAATGCCGTGCCGAAGTGTGCCGGGTGTTTGGGCAGGCGGCTCTGGGAGCTGCTGTGGACTTTTCCTCTCCTCTCCATGAGCAGCAGTGGCCGAAGGGAAGAGCCAGGCGCGGGTGAGAGGGAGCCGGCTCCGTGTTTATCTCCTCGGATTTGGCCCCAGGCACAAGGAGCGGGTTGGCTCCGAGCTCCATGCGGGGCTGCCGCCGTGCGGCACTGCAAATCGGGGTCTTTCCCCTCCGATGCGACCCAGGGAATGCCAAGGAACATTCCCGAATGCGGGAAGCTCTGCGTGGCTTCCAGCAAAGAGTGACAGGGTGGCTACATCGATGAATATCCATGAGCAGATCTGAGGCGCTTGTTGTGCTGCTTTCCATTCCCTTTTTATTATTTTTGGAATTTGGTCGCTCTCTGATACAAGTTTCTGGGGAGACGCAGGCACCTTGCCATGCCAAAAAATAAACCTGGATCCACTAAAGAGTCTGTATTTTGTTCTCAGGCTTTCGCTAGCCAGGAAAGAGGCCTGTTACTTTTCAGTTTTACAAAGTTGGGAGGTATGGACTTGACTTATGAACTAATTTCGCATTTACTTTGTTAGAACTCTCTAGATATTAATAACGACTTAAAATAATCAAGCCTGCGCCTTAAAAATATCCCAACTGTAACGCAGAGGAAAAATAAGAATTTTGCACGTTGTTGTGGAAACACCAGGGAGGAAAATGGGGATGTGGAGGTAACGCTCATGGATTTGACTGCTAGGAAGGCCCCTCACCAAGGCGGTGAAGTGATGGGCTGGGAATGAGCCCGGAGCAGGGAATGACTGGGGAGGACGGGGGTCCTCGGGGTCTGCGGTGGCTGGAGGGGTGAACGGGACCCCCATGTCTGTGTGCGAACCTGCCTAGTTCACAGGGGCCAGGAATATTTGTTTTAAATGCATCAAAGCCCCGGTCTTTCTCTGCAGAATTAGCATGAAGCCAAAAGCTGCAGAGGTTCCTTCCTGTCTCCAGGGCTAATCCTGCAAATCGGGAATGAGCCGGGCGGAGAGAACTCCTGTCTGGGAGTCAGGTCTCGGGAATATAGGCATCAGCTGCGGCAGCACGAGGATGCTGTAGTTAATTTTAGTTAATAAACGCCACCCTTTCCAGTGGAGGGGATACCCAGGGTCTCCCGTCCTCCTCGGTCTGGGCTTCCAAGCGGTCCAGGCTGCCGTGCCTGCTCCCCAGGACCCCCCTTTCTGCAAGGTCTGTGTGCTGCTGATATCTCCGTAAGAGGCACTGGACGCTTTTCCTGCGATGCATTTTCCTGCTGTCTCCCAAAGGAATTACTGCTCCCGTATCCAGGCTCGGGGGTGCAATTCCCCTCGGGACAGGCCGCAGCAATGCCTGGGGATGTGGGCATCCCCTCTGCACCAGGGAAGGAACCAGATTCCAGGAACTGCAGCGCAGGACGGCAGCTCTCGCTCCAGTGGGTGAATCCCGGTGGATCCCGCCAGCTTCGTGCTCCGCGCCTGGGAATGTCACCACTAGTGACACCGCCGGAGCAGCGAGCAGGGGCAGCACCACGGGGCCTTCTCTCTTCCCGGGAATCTGCCCCGCTCCTTTCCACAAAACACGGGTCTGCAGCTTGCCCGGCCCTGCTTCCAGGGCATCCTGCAGGAACCGGTGCTGCTCCTTGCGCTGGCCTCAGCGAGACAGCCTGGCACGAACGACCCCGGTGCAAACGCCGCGGTGCTGGCAAGCCGGGGAAGGCGCCCGTGCGTTTAGGTCACCTCGGGCGCACGGCAGTTAAAAATGTCTAATAATGTGTTGTCATCGTGCATCTGTGTAGCAGGCGCGCTCTTTGGGAAATGGCAGCGATTTTTAGATGTGCTTCAGGATTTAGCACTTTGCTGAAACTTTATAAATTGTTTTGTATTTCTGCCTATCTGAGGCAGGATGGCCACGAGTGCCAGGGGTGTTTGAGGAAAGTAGCGTGCATGTAATGAGGGTTCTCTCTTCTTTTTAAACCAAATATTAAATAGTTAAATAGTTCTTCAGCTGTTCTAATCGGTTCTAATCAATCAGTTCTAATGCTGGTGTTAAGGACGGGGAACCAGCGCTGGACACCTCTCTGGTGACAAGTGGGTGGCCTTGTGCAGCCGGAGGCGGAGGAAAAAGGGCAGCAGCTCCAGGCCCAAAACGGACATGGAGACAATGCCGGTCTTGTCAGAATTTTGTCCTTTAAAAATTGGGTCTGAGAAAATGATTTTCTATGGAGATTTGAGGTGTAAAAGGTGGGAAAGAAGCCCAGCGTTCACAGGGAGCAATCCCGGAGCTGGAGGATGCACAGGAGATGCCACCTCTCCTGGGAAGGGCAGGCAGGGAATTGCTCCGAGCGCCACGGAGAGACGGCTGGAGCAAGGAGTGCGAAATCAGCGGGGAGAGCAGGACGGAATCACCTGGGAAAGCAGGATGGAATCACCCGGGAAAGCAGGATGGAATCACCCGGGAAGGCAGGGCGAGGTGTGCGTGCCGGGCGGGCACGGCGCGCATCCCAAGCCTCGCTGTGCAGCGCGCTTCCCGAGGCCTCTGGCGCGCGTCTCGGAGCCGCTGTGCTCCCTGCCAATTGGGATGTAGCTCAGCATGGTTTCATAGGTTAAAAAATGTATATTTCCTTGATGCACTTTTAGTTTTATTTTTAACTCTTAAGCATTTTACAAGTCTGCTAGTATTTCCCCCAGTTTTCCATCTGCTACTGTGATTAATATAAATTGTATCTTTATAATGGCGATCCAGAGCAGAAGAAATGGAAACCTTACCTATATTATTTGGCACACAGCAGTAGACATGAATAACTTTGGAATTTGCGGGGAAAAGAGAAGTTATGTGTTTTTGGAGCCAAAATATGCCTGGAAACCGGCCCTAGCAGACGGCGCTCTGTGGTGAGGGCTCTCGCTGCGCTTTGAAACCAGGTTTGAAACCAGGGAAGGTCCCTCGGGAAGGGGCGGCCGCGGGAGCCGGGGCCGCTCGTGCTCCTCTCCTGCACTGGTACCTTGCAGCGTGTTTGTGTCCTCGGAGATAAGGAGCGGTGCCTGGAAAAGCCCCGGGAAAAATACCCCAGAGTACACTCGAGCGGTATGCGGAGTGACGAGCTGATAAGGGGGACGGGAGCGGCTGCAGGAGCGATCGAGGGCAGATACGATCGCGGCCTGTAAATGCAGTCGGCATGACGGCACGGCCCCGCTGCAAGAAGGGCATCTGGTATCTGATGGGGAGTGAGCGTCCAGGCGATCCCAGCAGGAGCGGGGGGAGCGGGGATGCTCGGGGGGCGCCTGCGGGATGTGGCCGATGCCTTTCCCAAGGGGGAAGGAGGGCTGGGTAGGGACGGATGCAGGACGCTCGCCGCCGCACGGGATGGGCATTGGAGGAGACCCCACGGGATGGACACTGGAGGAGATCCCAAGGGATGGGCATGGTCCCGCTGCTGCCTTTCCCTCGAGCTCCGCTCTGCACTGCAGCCCGTCAGCCTCGGCTCCAGGCGGCTGCTCCCGGGCACGGCATCGCGGCGGGCACCGCTCCCGGCTGCGGCAGCGCGCGGTCCCCATAGGCTTGTGTGGGCTGGCATTCTGAAACTGGAGCGTGTGGGGCTGTTTATATAAAATAAAATGGCATTTCAAGATCTTGTTTTAAGAAAGCTAGGCTTCTGAGACGGCCCATGTGCAGGTGAATTCTGCGGTGCAGAATGGCAGGCCCCGTCCTTCCCCCTGAGGAGAAGCAGTGTCACTTCTTCCTCCTCCTCCTCTTCCTCCTCCGTGCAGCTCCGTGCTGGTTGATGCCAGGCTCAGCCTTGCCCACTGCCGCTCTGTGATTCACTGGGTCTTGCAGGGCCAGGGATGGTGTTTGAGGGAATTTTTCAGAATTGCCCTATCAGTAGAATAAACATACTCAATAAAACAGCTCGCCCGCCCGCAGCCTGTCGCCTGGGCTGGCTCGTGCCCCGAGCTGGAGCCCGCTGCGCTCCCTCACGTTTGCTCTCCCTCTCTCCGCAGAACGCCATGAACCTGCCGCCCGACAAGGCCCGGCTGCTGCGGCAGTACGACAACGAGAAGAAGTGGGAGCTCATCTGCGACCAGGTAAGGGCGGCCGGGCCCTCCTGCAGCACGGCCAGCGCTGCGCTGGCTTCAGGCACCCGCTTCCGTGGCCTCCTGCTCCCGTATCGGGAGCACCTCGCGGAGGCCCGTAGCTCCGCCGCCCGTTTCCACCATAAGGTGATATTTCCTTCCCATGGGATTTCATTCTCGCCCTTCATTTTCCCCCAGTGATGAACACTGCTTATTTTTTGTGGCATAGTGCACCTGGGCAGAGTGACCAAGTGTTCCGAGCTTGGTCTGTCCTGATCGGATTTGGCTTTCCCAACATCACCAGCTGTTATCCCCCCTGGCATTAGCTGTCCCCTTCAGTGCAGCATGAATAGTCGTGTAGCCCAAACTGCCTCCTCATCTCCAGAGGCTGGAGGAGAACCTTATGCAGCACCACAGGCTGAGACGTGTTCTGTGTACAAGCTGTGCCGGGGAGCAGAGGCCTTGCAGAGCTCATAGCAGCACACTGCCTCTGCCGTGGCAAACGCACAGAAGCGACGGCGTTCGGAGGAGGCAAAGTGTGCACAAGTGTGTTTGGGAGCCAACCCCAAAATCGAGTTTAGCAAAAACTTCCAAAGTCATTGCTGAGGAAAATAACTGATCCGGGACTGGAAGGGAAGGATGTTCCTTTGGAATGTAAACACAGAGGGACCGGGATGGGAGTTTGGCAGAAGGTGCAGTCATGCTATGAGGTCAGGAACATCATAATAAATAGGTTTGTGGGACTTTTCCTGTTTATCCATTACAGGAGTTGAGCCTGTGATGAAATCCAATTGCCTTAAAGTAAACTTGAACACAGAATTACCTACTTCTTTCCAGGAATTTCCTGTGCACAGGTCTTAAAGCACTGCACTATTTAAGGTTTCAGAAGCGATCCTGAGCGAAGCGCGTAAGGTGCTGCGAGTGGTTTGCTTCTGGGGGCTGTTGGTGGAGCGCACGCACGCGCGGACGCGCGCAGGGCACGGGCACGTGGGCAAGGAGACCTGCAGCCTGCAGGAGCCACCTCTCTGCAGAGCTGCTGCGCGTGCGGGGCGAGGACGAGTCCCAGCGCTGCGAGAGTGGGGACGCGGCGGCGCCGCGCTGCAGGATCCAGCCCGGCGGGGATGCCGGCACCGGGGAGCTGTTTGGGGACACGTTTGGGGACCAAGAGCCAAGGTGTCCATTACCCACCCCAAGCTCCCGCCCCGCGGCGCCGTCCAGCCCCTCGATTAGAGCAGCCCGGAGCAGGTGTGCGGAGGAGCGCCGTAACGCGGCATATGGCCTGTGAAATATTTATATCTGTCCACATCATTGTGGCACGCGGCTAAAAATATTCCCAGGAATAAATTTTGTGCAGAAGGGATATTTTAATGAGGAAGCAGAATTTGAACGGCAGCTTTGTGTTGGAATCACCCATTACACCATTTTTCATCAGTTTGTTTTTGCTTGTTGAAGGACAGAGGATGTAAATGAATGAAATAGCTGGAAGACATTAACTCTTTCTCTGCATAGTCCTGGGCTCAGTTGCAGCTTGTGTCTGAAAAAGAAAAGGGTCCAAGTAAAGACATTGCTCTTAAATGGTATTTTCAGAATTACTTGTGACAAAGTCCCTGCTCATTTGTCTGAACTAATTTGAGAATTTGTTGCTGGGGCAATAGCCTGTGGGTGCTAGGGGCAGTAATTAGGGCGTCAGAGGGTTTGTCCACAAAAGGAACTCCTGATTTATAGACCTAGGGTTGACAAAAGTCAGGAGCTACTGATCTCATGCTTAATGTAATAATAATAATTTTGTATCTTGCTTGGGTGGGATTATGCACGTTCTGCCTGGGGGATTGCTGGCCTGGGTTGGAGGACTCCCCGGTGAGGGCTGTAACCTTCTTGAGCCTTCTCAGCCTTGCTGCTGCCCCTGTCAAAGCTGTTCCCGACCTCTGGTTTAGCGAGCAAGGAGCAAACCTATGGCAGGCAGGAGGAGCCAGAGCAGCCCTGCTGCTGCTGACGGTGATGATGAAGTTGATGATGGTGATGATGATGATGTAGGTCCCAGGGCGCCATGTGGCCCTCATCCCTGCCCACCTTGGAGGACGTGCGGTGAGCAGCTTAGGGGCCAGCTCTGCCCCTGCCCAGCCAGCGGCTTCGGAGTTGATTGGAGGAAAGGGCCCCGAGGAGCCTTCTTGGAGACTCCCTTTGGAGAAACGCTCGTCCCACGGGAGATGGGAGCGAGGACGGGGCCGCGTGGCAGCTCAGCCGGCAGGTGAGCGCTGGGAATGAGCCACGCCGTGGAGGTGGCAGTGACATCTCCAATGGCAGCGCTGCCCACAGGACAAGGTCCCCTTTGAGGCAGGTCCCTGCCTCCCGGGGGGTTGTGTGTGGTGGGCCGGGGGCTTCCCTGAAGGGGACAGAGAGGTGGAGGACAGGGGTGGGACCCTCTTGGGAAGTTCTTCCATGCCCTCTAATGGCAAAGGGTGGCAGGGACACAGACAGACCCTCTGCTTGGGACGGGTGAGGATGTGGGGGGGTGGTAACAAGCTCGGAGAAGGGGAGGGTTGCCGGGAAGTCGTGAGATTTACACCCAAACGCCGTGGGCCTTGTGTCCGCGCTATGGGTCATGCCGAGCACGCGCGGCGCTCAGGCAGGGTGTTTGCCGGGACTTCGGTGGGCGGAATTCCCTGAGGGAAGGGGGCTTGGGCTTGCTGTGCTTGCTTGGCGCAAGAGCGAGTCCGAGCACAGAAATCTGCAGGTTTGAGATTATGCTGTCGAAAAAAAAGAGCATTCAAAATAGCCTAGGGAAGGATAACGTCTGCAGCCCAGAGGGACCCTACAGAGCTGTGTTCATGAATGCTTGAAAGTAGGAAAGAACCTTTTCTTCTTCAAAATTAACCTAATCTACTCGCTAGGTGGCTGGCAAGGAGGAAGCTCATCTCCAGCCTGAGCTTTTCCCATTTCGGGCTTGCAGTGTTGGTGCCCATGTGAGTCACGCACAGCGCGCGGATCAGGGAGATTCCATCAGGATTTGTTACCTTTGTCATGTCCTAACAAGGCCGCTCGGGGCCCGCGGGAAGAGGAGCTGATTGATAGTGAGCGAGTTGTGAGGATGGTGCCACGCGGACGCGCCTGCCGCTCAGCGAAACTGGGGGAGCCGAGTGGGAATGTTGAGGTGCGCGGGGCGAAAATGCCCAGCCTCCCGGGGGAAGTGGAATTAAAGCCCGTGCCGTGTACACTTACCTTTGGAAAGCAGGTTTTGCCTGGTGAACAATTATGAATCGGGAGAAGTGAAGAGGAGGAAAAACCAGGAAAAAGCAGTGATGTTTAGCCTGTTATTTACAGTGGCAAGGGAAAGCAAGCTGCATGGAAATAGGGCTCCGTGGTGGCCTTGGCAATGGCAACAGCATCCACGGGCCTCCTCCTGGAAAAGGGAAAGTGCAAAGGGGTTCCTTTGCACTGATTTCCCCCTTGGTGGGCAGCTGAGACCCAGCAAGTGGGTGGGCACATGGGCGATGCTTGGAGATGCAAAGCCAGAATATCATAATGTGGACAAAACTGCCCAAAGTAATACTGCTCAGCTTCATGGGCACTTATTTGCACTTATCCTTACAGTCACAGGCAGTGGTTTCCCTTTTGGGAATGAACTACCTGCAGAGATTATTGTGCAATACATAACTACAGCCAGCTTCTGAGAAAGCAAATGAGAACATGTAATACCTGCGTCGTAGACTGCTGAATTTGCTGACTGCCGTTGAGCGTTTCGTTTGGAAGCTCACAGATACGAAAACTGGCAGCTAGGAAAAGCTCATGTCATTCTAACTGATGATGCCTGATTATGAAGTAAGAGAAATATTTCCCAAAGAATAAAGTAACTCCTCTAGAGGATTAGACTAAACACAGCGGAGCTGCGGCAGCATTAGAGAACTCCCAAGAAGAGGACTAAATATTAAAGCTAACGTGGGATTTTGTCACGCGCCAGGCTCGGCGCTGTCGGAATTGCTGATCCCTCAGTCGGGCTGTACAGCTGGCCCTCGCTTTCCTTGCAAAGCTGGCTGGTTTTGTGCCCAGCTACTTTGTAAATGGCAATATTTGGACATGGTTACGCAATTGCACAGTGCAAACACTTGCACCTTAAGTTGTTTGCGGGGAAAGAGGTCGGTGTTCAAATGTTGTAATATCCCCAGAGCGCAAAGCAAGCCCTTGTGGTGGAGCAAAGTGGTTGTGGTCTCTCAGGCTCGCATACCTCCAGCAAACGCTTTCCTGGCCTGCAACGATTCTCATTTACAGCAAAAGCCAAGTTTTCATTTGTTTTTTGTGCCCCTGGCAGTGTGAAGAGCTTCTAAAACGAGTTAATGCATGTGAAGTATGTTTTTTTTTCTGTCCACTGTAAGGTTGAGTCTGCAGCTCCTAGGGGAATGTAAGTCTGAGCAGGACTCTGCACCAGCAACATTCTGTACGGAGGGTAGATTTTGTGTTCTGGGGGACTACAGGGCAGATTTTTAGTTCTTTTTTTTTTGTCTTTCCTCTCATGATGAATTAAATTTTTTACCAAGAGCAGCGAGATAGTAACAGGAACAATATTTGGTGTGTAGATGGTACCTTCTGGTAACTGGGCAGTAATCTACTATTCATTATGGAACAACTTTGAGATAATGTAGTCAAAATTGCATCCTGACCTAAGAAACGGAGGTTTCAAATGTCAGCTATAAAACACAAAGCGGTAACGTCAGGAGATAATTGCTATGAGATCTTTCCCTGAGGGAAGGGGCAGAATAGCTTCAAATTCCTCCAAGATGCAAATAGTAACAGGACTTTTGCTAATGCTCTTAACAGGTCCGGACACAGCATATTCCTCTTAGAATAATGGGTGTTTTGCAGCAGTTTTATAGAAGACATTTCAGACTGGCTATGCGACTGGTTCAGGAGCAAGCAGAAGCCAAGCAGTGCCCAAATGCAGACCCCCCAGACTGTGTTTATCACTCACTCCCCTTGCTAGATCCCGAGCGTGGCTGATCCTGAGCCCGGGATTAGAGATTTGCTCAGTGCCCCTCTGGAAGCCACAGTTTCCCGGTGACTTTGGATTAGTCATTGGAAAACCTTCAGGGAGGCCTGAGTCTCCAGCTGAGATGAGAATTCCTTTGCACTAGGCCAGGTCAGTAGGGGAGCAGATAGGGAAGCTGCTAGGCAAGGTGGAAGTAATATTAGAAGTAGCCGAAGGAGCTGATTTCAGATGCTTAGGGAAGTCTGTACATTAACACCCTTCCCCAAGTGTCGCTGCATCCCTGAGGATTCTCCCAGCCCGCGTCCACGGGGCCGGCAGAGCCCTGCAGCTGCGCTCACGTCGCCCTGAGTCACTGCCCTGCATTGGCGTGTTCCTTTCTCTGCTTTTTTAGAGAAAAGCCCAGCAGTGTTTCAGCTGGTCTGTGGGGCATCTGGCCTCGGTTGTCAGCACGCTCCCCGTGCAGGGGCAGGAGCTAAGCGGGGGCTCGGCGAGCGCCTCGCGCCCAGGCTGACTGCTCACACAGGGTTTGCACATGTTGTAGCTGGTCCACATGTATTTAATGCATATTTACGTAGACTAAACAAGCCTGGCGGTGTCATGTGCCAGTGACACCAGTCCCGGGGACACGGCAGCACTGCGTGATGGGGCAGTTAGGCTGGGAATTAAAGGGGAGCCTCTGGCTGCAGGCTGAGCGTGCTGCGAGGCCGGGCTCCTCTCCCTCCTCCTGCAGGAAGCCGGGCTTTGCAGCGGGTGCTGGAACACATGAATCTCCTGCCTTGCTCTCTTCCCGGGAAGGAATACGGGATAATTCCCTGCATCAGGCAGTCCTGGTGCCCAGGGAAGGGCACACACTCGTTTGTAGCAGCCATTTGGTCCTATCATCCAGTTCAATATTGTAGGGTTCAAATACTGCTTGCAGGCTCCAGCATTCACTGAACAGTAAAAAAGCCATTTTTTTTCCATAAGAGGAGACACTCCTTTCAGTGTATTCAGTGTTTTTAGGCTTGTCCCAAATGATAATAAAATACCTCATCTTTTGTGGTGTTATCTTTCCATCAGACATAGACACACATTCACTCTTGTAACATGTCGCTCTTCTATCAGTGCTCGTAACTAACAGGAACCCTGTTATTTCAGGTTTTATATGTGCAACTAAACTTTAGAGTTTTAACTGAATATGTAAAATACATCTTTATGCATCCTCTATAAGTATGCAACATCTCATAAAATTAAAAGATACATAGATATGTTTCATTTGTGTGTATAATACCTATTTGCAGATTATATATGTGTAAGTATATACATATTAATTTATCTTATTCTTGTGTACTGTGTAAATATAGGTGTGTATGCACATATGCAAGTGCATACATGTAAGTAAATGCAGAAGGTGTTCCAAAATATCTGACATTTTTTCTTACGTTCTTTGCAGGAAAGATTTCAAGTGAAGAACCCGCCACATACCTATATCCAGAAGTTAAAGGGCTACCTGGACCCCGCGGTGACGAGGAAGGTGAGCGGAGCTGTGCCGCCTGCTCCTGAGCCCGCAGCCCTGCCACAGGCTCCGGGGAGGCTCCGAGAGGCAGGAACGCCGCGGGAAGCAGGGAGAGGTTGGAAAGTGCTTGCAGCTCAGTGAGCAAGGAGGGCAGATGCAGCGAAGAAAAGGAGCAGCTCACAAATGGAACAAATGGTTTTAATAGCTTCGGGTTCAGTAACTAGTCTAACAGACTGGCACGGAGGTCTGGTCTAGGCGCAAATGCACCCGCTCACTCGCAGTCGCGTCAGGGTTTGCAGGGTCACGAAGTAAAGATGTAGGCTGCATTTCAGCTGCCTCGCGGGGCCTCCCCGTGCTCCTGAACACCACTCTGTCTAGAGTGACCTGCCGGGGACGCGTGAAACGCTCCGGCACGTGCTGCTTCTCCGTGCACGGGTGCCTCTTGCCCTCGAGGTGGCACCGAGGCTGCCGTGGCTGCTGCCCCTGCCCTGGTGATGGCCTTGGGGTGCCGGCGAGCGCTCCGGAGGTGGCCGGGTGCCTGGTGTTGGACACCTTTGGTGATCAACTGCTTGCCATGGCAGCTCATTGCAGCACCGACAGCTCCGAGAGCCTTGAAGAGACGGGAACGGAGGGCAGGGGAGCGAGGCCTGCCCTCCCTTAGCTTGTGTCTTGGAGGCACCAGTCGGGGCTTCTGGCAGGGCTCCTCTTGTTGGGAGCTCCAGCAGGAACCGTTCTTTAAATTTGCCCATAGCTGCTTAGAGCTTCCATAAGTGCTGAACAGGGGCCTTTGTGCTGCCCTGCCGAAGGGTGCCTGGAGTGCGCTCCGGGTTGGCTTTGCTCCGTGCCCACTCTGTGGGCACACATTGAAGCCTTTCTTGTCCGTGCACTGCTGCAAGGTGCCCATGGCAAATGACAAAGCTAAAGGAGCCTAAAAATAACTGCACCCAGTTCCTGTCTTCTGTGGCATCCTGCACCGCCCGCAGCCTTTCCGCAGCCTGCGGATCGGGAAGAGCCACAAATGGCTCCTGGACGCGGCTGGGCCTTGCAGGGAGGGCTCGCCTTGCAGAATGGTCCCTGTGGCTGTGGTGTGTCCGCGTTTCCAGTGAGGATCCCCGCGGTGGCCGGGACGGTCGCTCCAAAGGGGCTGTGGAATGGAATGTGTGCCCAGGGTTGTCACCGGCACCTGAAGGGCTCCTCCGTGCCAAGCAGCGACTTTCCATCCGATCTGAGTTCTCAAAACAGGAAAGCTAAACTGTCAAAATCACACATTTTAACAAATTGGCAGTTTGGTGGCTTCTACAGAGCAGGAAGTCACAGAGCTGCGTCATTGCTTTGTGCGTTGGCTGCAGGGAGCGGGCTCAGAGCCGGGATGCGGCGGTGCCCGCGAGCCCCGGGAACGTGCCGCCTGTTCCTGTCACCCTGCTCCTGCAGCACGGTTTTGCCTTTCCTTCTGAAGAGGAGGGTTTCCTGTTGCTGGGAGCTGTGTTGTGCAGACACTCCGGGCACGACACGTCGTGTTTTTGTGCTCTGAGTTAATGAACAGAGATCCAGCGAAATTGTGTGTCTGGCCTCAGCTAAGGTAGCTGCTTCAAAGAGAAATTATTAGTGCCTTGTGCCTACTGGGTTTTTACCATGAGGTGTCTGCTTCGGTCTGCAAACGGCTTTCTGCACTGCAGTTCTGGCCTTACCTCGAGGAGGGCAGGAAGCCAGTGCTCCTAAACAGCACGGCAAAATCCTTGCGAAAACAAGGCAAGTGATGGGCAAATCCCACACTTCCTTATCATCTGCAACTCCATAAATCCACTGAATTAATGCAAATGATGGAGCTATAAAATACAGCAGTTCCGAGAAGAATTCCACCAGGGTGATGTCTGTCCACGGCTGCTCTCACTGAGCTTGTGCACAAACAGCAGTTTACCAAAGCTGCTGCTCCAGAATATCATATCCACATGGATTCAGCTGAATCGGAGAGAGCCCGGCTGTGCCGGGATGGGGCCGCTCTGGTCCGTTTGCGAGCGCAGAGGGCATTATATGGGAGAGAAGATGCTGGTGTTTGTGCAGCTGGGAGCAGCTCAGAGAGGAGGGATCCCTCTTCCCGGGCCGGTCCTGCTGGGAGCTGCTCGGCGGCGAGCGCGGGGCGCTCTGCTTCCCCGGAGCACGTTTGGGGTCTGCTGCCATCCGGGACCTCCTTGGACCATAGAGTGATGTGGGGCTCTCCCACCCTTTCATAGGGGTGTTGTGCCAGCTGGCTCTTCCTCCTGCTGTATGGAGTCATCGGGAAACACCATCTTCCTTACAAATCTTTCCTAGACCCTGTTGCAACCCAGTGTTCTACTTCTTTCATCCTTCGTGGCCTCCTCTTAGCTTCCAATTATGCAGAAGTGATTTAGCATTTACAGGCCATTAAAGCATGCGGATGGTAGCGCTTGGTTATTGCAGTGTTGACTTGCGGCCACAAAGCTGGCAACGATACAGAAATTCTGGAAAGTCTTTTGTTGTGAGTGTGAAGTCACAAAAGCAAAATTGTAGGACAGAGCAGGGAGTCTGCTCTCAGTGCTGTAATTCTCTACAAAGAGGTTGATGCTGAAGCTTGTTTTGTAAAGAAGTGTATGTTTATGCACAGGCTTTTAATTTTCTTAATGCTGGAAACTCCAAATGTATCTTGGAACAGAAGTTGTTTTTCTGAGTGTGCTTTTGTTGACCGTCTGACTATTGCTGTTGCATTCCTCAGGATTTAGAGTGGTTCTCAATTTACCTTAACGTTTTATTTACTCAGTCTGCACGGTTTGACATTTTCAATAGCATCACCCGAGTCTTAATGTTATTTTTGTCTGCTTGCTGAATTACAGAAATTCAGAAGACGAGTCCAAGAATCGACTCAAGTGCTTCGAGAACTGGAAATTTCCTTAAGAACAAATCACATCGGGTAAGGACTCTTGATGACCCCTGGTCTTTTTGCATCTCCTGCTGGATTGCTCTGAGAGCTTTTTGCTTTGCACGGTAAGTAGTGATCCAGCTGGATGGATCATTAAGGCCTGGAGGGCTCGGCTGGGCATCTATAGAGACCTCAGCTTTCATCCTTCCATGTTAGGGCAGCCCACGTCTCCCGCAGGGAATTTCTGCCTCCTTCAGGGAAGGCAGAAGAGCGGGGAGAACTGTTGGGTCTAGAATGATAAAAGAATTGCTGCTATAAATATGTACGTATGAAAACATGCTGTGCTAGTGCTTTAACATGATGCGGCCTGGCCATAAGTAATATTACCTGTATTTTACTGTTGTGAACGAGAAAATAATCTCTCAAATAGTAGGAGAACAAGAAGCTCCAGAGATGATGGTTCAGGGTTAGCCTGTCAGCTGCAAAGGCTTCTGTAACGTTCTGTTTCGTGATCGTAGTGTGTGTCCAGCTATAATGCAGCATTTTTACAGGAAGCTGTTCCTATTTCAAGGTAATAGAGGCATTTTAGAGGCTGAATACAGCAGCAGTATTCTTCCTCACTGCCGCTGTGTGCCTCGCTGCTGCTTAGGAAATTTCTGTGTGCTCCTGCACACTTCTGTGCTTCCCAGAGGAATTGGCCCTGCGTGGGGACCAGCTCCATGTCCCCACACCACGCTCAGCATGGGTTTCTCAGGTGCACCCTGCAAGTTGCTACCTAGTAAGCGGTGAATAACAGTGGATATTAATCATCCCAAGCACTCATGGCGAGGCTGGAAGAGATCAGGAAGACCCCATGCATCGTCTGGGCTTTCCTGCACGCGTCCTTGCCTGCGCTTCCCCAAAAGACAGCTTGGGGAAGAACAGATCCATGCACACGCTGCAGGACTGGATCCAGGTGTGGAGCCTTTGGTGCTGCCGGAGCCGTCGTGTCGCAGCGGGGAGCTGAGCGGGCCCTTGGGCGCCTGGTGAGACGGTGGCGGTGGCCTCCCCGGCACGCGCACCCGTGTCCTGCACCCTGCACCCTGCTCTGCTCAGAACACCCCGAGGACACGGATGCCAACACGACATCGCCTCCCTGCTCCCCGAGCGCCGCGCGGATGCGTTTGAGGCACCTCGAAATGCTCCCGGAGCAGGGCGAGCGGCAGCAAGGAGCTGCTCCCAGCACCCCTCCGCTCCCGCTCTGTTTTTCCCACTTGCCGAGCATGCAGGGTTCCCTCCGGAGCGCGGCGCTCCCTGGGATGCTCCTGGATGCAGGAGCGCCGCGGCTTGTGGGCACGCACAGCACTGCTGGGCCGCACCGCATGGAGAAGAGTGGCTCGCAAGGCCCGCGTGTGTTTGTTTTGCTCACTGGGATGAGAGGCATGTTTCAAAATAAACGCTATAAAAATGCCAGGTCGTTTATTTTAGTACATAAATAGCAAAAGATTTAAAGCCCGAGGGCTGGAATAACTCACAGGTAATGAATTTGCACTCTGCTGACTGTAGAAGATCTGTGGCTGCAAGGCAGGGAGGGCAGAGCGGGTGGCCCTGGAGCCACAGCTCCCTGCCCGACTCCCTGCGCGTCCCTCGGGAACATGCCCTGTCCGGGGGACATCCTGCACCTCCGCCCAGGCGCCTGCTCGCCGCACAGCTTGCACTGATGCTCAACTCTAACCAAGTATTTTAAGTTTTCCAAACCTTGGAAAGCTTTTGTGAATGGCAGAGTATTTTGCATTTTACCCAGTGCCCCTGTCCTGCAAGGGAAGGGGCTCCAGGCTGCTGGTAGAGTCCCAGGAGCAGCACAAACCCAGCAGGGCTCTGGTGGCTCGCGGTTTTTCTCTGATGTCTCATGTTTTTTTCCAACAGATGGGTCAGGGAGTTCTTGAATGAAGAAAACAAGGGCCTGGATGTTCTGGTGGAATATCTGTCATTTGCACAGTATGCAGTCACGTAAGTGAGCCAGGGCTCGTGCTCCTCGGGCTTGCAAGGCAAAGCAAACGCCTGTCCGTCTAGACTGGGGAGCAAGAGACAAGGTCGGACGCTCGGCTTTCCTTGCCGAGAAGGTGCACCAGTTGCTGGGTGCACTGTTATGCATGTCCCTTAGAAGAGAACCAGAGAAGAGGGTAAATTTAATCCAAAACTACTGGGTCACAACATAAAACTGTATGAAAAGAAGTGAAGTGATAGGTTAAAGATGCTGTTGCAGTTGGAAACTTGAGCTGAGTAGAGCTGGTATTTTATTTTTAGGAAAGATGCAGTCAGATGTGTATATATCATTGCACAGAAACAAGATTTTTGGTGGGGCTGTTATAAAATTAATGAAAATTATATGTTTAAGAAATGTTGCTAAGACTGGAAAAAACTATTCACAGCAGAAAGATGTGTTTGTGTGAAGACTTTCTTCCTAAAATTACATGAGTGTATGCAAGTTAGCTTGCTGGGGTTTTCTGTCTCTAACGTGGTAAACATGAGTAATAACCTCAAAAATTGTAAGGGGAACAGCAATTTTTGCTTGAAATAGCAGTACAACAAGTCAGAAATCAAAGAAAATCTTGAACGATTACCGTAATATTTTACATATGCTTGGAGAGTAGCTCGAGCCAGCAAGCCCCTGTAACCATATTGACAGAGGCGGATGAGTTAGTACTCGCACAATGTGTTGATTTATTAAAATAAAAGGGAGGCAGCTTGAAGCATTCTCCTCCTTCCTCCAAGGTAGCGAATTGGCCACCGGGTTTATTTTACACAGAAGTGGAGTAATATGCAGATAGCTGTTTTAATCTCCTGAAACTCTCTGCTTTTGTGCTGCGTTTGTGCCTGCTGCCAAAGGTCCCGGAGCAGCACGGGGCTGCAGCTGGAGGGAAGGGGGCTGCATTGCTCTCTCCTTTCTTCTTGCAGTCCAAACCTGCAGATGTTGAGCGGGCAGGAAAGTCCCATGAACATCCCCCTGCGTAACCCTGCTTTGGAACTTGTGCTTCCTTTCAGTTTTGACTTTGAAAGTTTGGAGAACAATGTGGAAAACTCCGTGGACAAGTCCAAGCCTTGGAGCCGGTCCATCGAGGACTTGCACAGAGGGAGCAATTTACCCTCGCCAGTGGGCAACAACATCTCGCGCTCCGGCCGACACTCCACTTTGCGGTAAGGCCTTTCCCTGCGGCTCCAGGTCTCCTGCACGCAGCAAGGATGAGGAGAAGCAGGATGGGTTTCCGACTGTGTTTTTTTCACCTTCCCTCTTTGCACAGTCTACTCTTTACACGTATGGAAATCATGTCGTTTTATTGACAACTTTGAGGGGGAAAGGAGTGCGAAGTTAGTAACACAGGGCAAGGTTACGCAGTGGTAGAGGGTATAAAAAGGATAATATCACCCCTCTTTCCCAAGGCGAAGGGATGTAGGGGTGCACAGCCCGTGTCCTCCCGCGGGAGGGTGGCGTGTGCGGGAGCAGCGGTCGCTCTGCTCCAAGGAGCGGCTCACGGTTTCCACGAAGGCGGCCAGGCTGCAGCTCCGGCCTGGGCTCCATCCAAGCAGAGCTCTTCCACGCTGCTGGGAGCAGGAACTGCGTTTTGAAAAAGACCACTTCATGCTTCAAACCTGCTGTCAGCTACAGCCTCGGCCCAGGCTTTGCTGTGCACTCTCTTTCCAAATACTGGAAGTTTTTTTCTTTTTTTAGTTTATCAAACAGGCAGGATCACTTCCCAAGATTGAACGGGGTCAACTCTTCCCTAGGCCTTCACATTCCTTGGATACTTCCTCATGATTCTAAAACATACTAAGCACCATCTTTAGGCTGCCGATACAGCAACTTGCCGTTTTATGCTACACCTTCTCAGGGAGGTTTAGTTTGGGTTTGTCAGTCAGTGCTAGCGTTGGCTTTTAGTTCATGTTCAAGGAATATCAATAAACAGATGCAATCCATCTGCAGCCTAATGTAGTTGTAACGGATCTGATATCCAGACCATTTAACTCAGGCACATCAGGGAAGAAGTGGACAGGAGGAGGCAGACATGCAGATCTGGCCAAGAGAAATAGGTGGTGGACTGCAGCAAAATCAGATGAGCATTATTGTTTTCTCAATATTTCCAAGACTTGGCGGCTTTGGCTTTTGGCTTTCTTTGATCTTCAATGATTATGAAGTAGTAGAGTGGTAGAGTCTCGTGGTCAAAGGAGGATGCTTGGCCCTGTTCTGTGTCTTTGGGAGGCAGCACTGTGCTTGCTCATGCCAGGAATGCAGAAGTCGGGTATACAGGTATACATTACATGTAGGTATACATTACATGTCTCTCACATTTTTTCTCTTCCCTTCCTTCCATCCTTCCTCCTTTTTCATGTGTCCCTTTTCTTCCTTATCTTTTGTTGCCCCCATTTCATTGTGCATCCTCCTTTCCCCGCTTTGCACCGCTCTGCTCCTGTCGCCTCCGCTCCCATCCGCCCTCACGCCTGTCAGCCTGGTGTGTGTGCCCAGCCGGCTCCAGCTCAAACGCCGCCAGAGCTGCTGTGCACCCAGCTGCCTCTGGAGCGGCCTCCCTTTGTGCTCTGCCGATGGGGCCTCGAGCCGGAACGTCTCGTAAGTCCCGGGAGCGCCGCCGTGCCCGGCGGGAGCCGCGGAGCCTCCTGGGGGCCCCGGCCTCCAAAACGTGCGCTTGTGGCTTCAAGGGGTAGTTTGCTTCTGTAGAGCGGGATTGGCGAAAGTGGGTGTAAATAGAAATACGGGTATGAGTTGAAACGTAGGCAGCTCCATCTGCATGTGAGGAAGAGCTGCTTTGGTGTGAGGGTGCGCGAGCCCTGGCCCAGGCTGCCCAGGGAGGCTGCGGAGGCTCCTGCTCTGCAGATCTCCCCAACCCGCCTGGATGTGAGCGGGTGCCCCGGGCTCTGGGTGTCCCTGCTGGAGCAGGGGGCTGCACGGGATGATCCCTAGAGGTCCCTGCCAACCTCAACCAGTCTGGGATTCTGTGTGATTCTGTGAAAAGAGAATAGCTGAATTTGCTCTGAAACAAGGTACTCTCTATCCTATTATGAGCAGTGTTTCTAGGTTTATAACTAGGCCACAGAGCCTTAATCATTAGCTGTGCTGTCTCATCTTTTTTATTACGATAGAAATAGTGCTGTAGCTTTGGTGCAGAAAGCTGCGCGGTTTGTTCTGAAGCTCGTGGGGAGCTGGATGCCAGTGAAGACCTCTGGGTTTGGCTGCACTTGATAATGTGCGTGCGGAGTTAATGCAGAAGTGTGCCGTGCTGCCAGGCTCGCCCGCTGGCTCCCCTCCGGGGCCCTGCCCGTTGGCCACAGAGCTGTCTTTGTGTGCGGGGAGGTTGGCCAAGGATGGGCCATCCCTGGCAGGGAGGGAAAAGTTTGGGGAAATCAGCTGCCGAAGCCTCCTCGGTTTGTGTCTCAGCAAACAACAAGCTTTCTGTTTTCAAATGTGTGTACTTTTTTTTTCCATGGATGGGGAATATGTCAGATAAAAAAAAAAAAAAAAGGAAAAGCAGATCAGAAGTTTTTAGGAGGTAGGTGTTTATTTAACCAGTCATGAAGCTTTTTGTGTGAAGAAGCTTAACTCCCATCAAGTAAGCGGCATTCCTGGTCCCCGCTCCGGGACTGGGAGGACAGTGTCTGGGACCCAGTGAGCCCCTCTTTACGGACATTCCTCTTCTTTTGGTGCTAAAAGGACCTTTATAATGGGCAGAAAGAAACAAGGAGAAGAGCCTGACATTTTCAGCAGGGTAATTTAACGCGGAGGAGCCGGACCCATCCCTCCTGTGCCGGAACATCTGGAAAGAGTGAGTGGGTTTGGCCTCGGTCCCTTTCTGGTGCAGAGCAGAAGGGCCGGGGGCGACGGCGCTGCCTGAAGGGCTGGTGCTCGGTTATTGCCCTGCCCGGAAGAGCAGCTGTAATCCCTGCTTGTCCATGAGGACTGGGAGCCTTCGGGGCGGAGCAGGGACCGGTGCGAGTGCTCCCGCTGCCTGCATCCGCGTGCCCAGCGGCGGGAGGAGATGGGCGGCGCAGGGCCGGCTCTGCTGCCCCTTCCCCTTTCTCAAACTCCCCTGCTTCACCGCTTGGTAATTCGGCCACAAAGCAGCTCACCACGTGGGGCGGCCCCCAGCACCAGCCTCGCACAGAGGGAGAACCCTGCAAGCTGCAGGCACTTGCACGTGGTCAGGTTTGCTGTTTCTTCTTCTTCTTTTTTTTCAAAACTAAGGATTTATAGTTCTTCTTTAAAGGAGGGGCAAAGGAAATAAAAGAGGAACCATCTGACTTTAATTACCAGAATAAATATACTCTCAGTGACATAATCTTTGACCTGCAGCAGAGAGGAAATCAAAACCAACAATTCATCCAGATGCTGAGCTCGGGCTAATGTTTAGTAACAAGAAATGAAATAAGAGCAAAGGAAGATCATCCACCCTGCTTTGGCTCGTGACTTACAAGGGGAGGCGTTAGAGCTACTGCCAGTCTGTCCGGCCTTTAGGAAGGAAATAAGTAATATCAGGAGCTGGTGCCATTGCCACCAATACAGAACAAGCACCGTGATCTTCGTTGCAGTCTGCAGAGTCCCTGTAAAAGAGCACAACTGCCCTCATCACTTTGCAGCATTCAGGTCTGCGTGAAGAAACTTGCATTCGTTGCAGGGTGCATGTTCTCCAAGGCCAGGCTTTGATTAGGTGTCTGCAAAGCCCAACCAGCAGTTAGGGCTGGACGGGAACATTTGCCAGCCCAGGGAGACGGCTTTCCAGGTAGGCGGTGGACGGGTGCCAGGCTGACATAATTTCCAGGAAGAGGGAGCCCAGGGTGCTCCAGGGCCCTGCTCATTGGCAAAATAGCCTTGATCCTGGTTCCTCGCTGCTCTCGCTCCCCAAGCAGAAGCAAGTGCCCATTTCTGCTTTTGTTTGTGTCCAGCTGTTAACTGGTTTTAGGAGTATCGTTACAATTTGTTACAGCTGACAAAAGTCTATAGATGTTTAAAGGCATTCTGAAATTTAGGAAGTTGGTATATTAGACACCAGAGAAGCTCTTTCTTACACCATGGCATGATAGAGATTCTAGCTACTTTGCTTTAAAATTTGGAGGAAAATATTGAGTCTTTAGTGGTCTGAAACTGAGATGAGTCATGGTAGGAAAGGTGTTTTAAATCCTTATATTGTGCTGCATTTCCCCTTTAGGCAGGCGCCGCTGGCACTGCCCTGGTGCAGCGTGTTTGAGGGTTGTGCAGCGATTGTGGCAGTGAGTGCTGCGCTGGTGGGAGCTCTTACCTTACACCCTCACGTGAAGGAGCAGGCGGCTCTGTGGTGCCAGCGACCTCCAGCCTCTGCTCCGGAGGTTCCCGGGAGCGGGAATTCACGTGTACGTCCTCCGTGAGCTAGGGAGCAAAGCAAGTCTGCTATGAATCATCCACGTGCTTAGCATTAATCTTTCTTATTAATAATAACTAATGCTAATCACTGCGATTTTAAAAGCTGTGCTTTTTGAAAAGCAGCGCAGATTAGACGAGTAACTGCGCAGTGACACGAGCAGTGAATGGGGCGCTCCCCAGACGCGCTCAACACGTGCAGAGGACAGGAGTGGAGGCAACGGCCACCCTCTGCCTGCTGGTGTGCCCCAACAGACCACGTGCAGTCTGTGTGTGTTATTTGCAAGCAGATATGCTGAGCTGTCACACTTGCTTCTTCTAGAGCTCCACAAAGAGTATTGCTGAAAGAGAAGAACTGCCTTTGGGCAGAACCAGACATTTGCAAGGCACCGAATGAGGCAGTTAAAGAAACATTCCTAGCTCATCGTGGCACAAAGTAGAACGGTTTAGCTTAAACTAGGAAGGAGGTGCTTCGTTTGCTTCTAAAAGAGGTGATGATGCGACGCTTTGACTGGGTTGGCCATATGGTTCTTCTTTGTGCTATTTAGTAGGTATTATTTAAAAATAATATGTCTGTAAGACCATTCTTGGTAAGACCAAAGCCTTGTCTAACATCTCTGGCTTTGGCTCTCAACAGATGCTTAATGTGAGACCACCAGAGCAGGGCAAAGACGCCTCTGCTGGCATGTGTGTGGGGATGTCCAGCAGCCCGCTCCTGCAGCCAAGGTCAGCTCCTGGCCAGCGGCCCGTGCCGAGTCTGCCCGTGCGGCCGTGCAGGTGACACCGGTGGCACGGGGAGGTGGAGGTGCCTGCGCCGCTCTGAAGAAGACCTGCTTTTACTGTATCGCTCTATGGGTGAACTTCTCTATCCTCCCGCCACGGAGCTGCTCTTTGGGCACGTTGGAACGTCCTGAATCCCTTAATGGCACACGCACCGTGCTGCCTTTCTTCCTTTCTCCCCGAGTGCATTTTTGCACTTTGCTCCTGCTTTTTCGAGGCCAGAATGTGGGAGTGTGAGGAAAAGCAGATGTCCCAGGTGGGGGTCTGTGTGCGGGCAGGGACCGGTGCGACGCTGGGAGCTCGTCCCTCTGCTCGCTCCGTAGGGGAGCATCATCCGTGGAGGTCGGCTCCGCTTGATGTGCCAAGGAAATGACAGATTTACAGATTTCTCTTCATATTTATTCCTTGCAGTTATTTAATTAATTTTAGATGGTTTTATCAGTTAGAGGTTATAATTAAAATAATTAATGCCACTGTTCTGAGGAAAGTTCCCAAAGGCTGAATTTTCCTAAAATAATTCGGAGGCCTTTCAGAAAGCTCAGCCCTGGAGAGCTCAGCCCTCCTCCTTTGCTGCTGATCCGCGCGCTGCCGCAGAAGGGAATCCATTTGCTGGCATGTTCATTTCATCAAAAGCCTGCGCCGTTGCTCATACAGAATAATGCAAAGCAGCGTGGTTCGTCTTGCAGAGCTGCACGAGTGCTGTGTTTTCCCCAAATGGAGGAATATGCCCATTGCTTTGCTCTTGCTGCCGAACAGGAGCCCTGTCACTGACGAGCCTTGTTTTCTGTTTGCAGGTATAATACCCTGCCAAGCCGAAGAACGCTAAAAAACTCCAGATTAGTGAGCAAGAAGGACGATGTTCATGTCTGCATCATGTGTTTACGTGCCATAATGAATTACCAGGTACTTGCACTTCAGTTCTTCGGGACCAATAACTCTTGCATTGCTTGCCGTGGGGGGAAAGCTTAGCTGTGAACTGCAGGGGTGACGTGGAGGTTTAAATCCAATTCACTTTTAGACAGCATCATTGGGAAGCCACGTAACAGAGCCCTCACCTGCAGAGGATGCAGCTCACCTTGCGCACGTGGGAAGCCCCGTGGGAATCACAGCAGCACCCGCACGCAGGGCTGGGTGCTGTGTGCAATGAGTGCAATGCTCTTAGCAATGCCCTCGCTCATTGGAAATGCACCTACACCACAGAAATTATCGTTTGTCTCACAATTTAATTCAGCACTAACCTGTGGGAAATATAGTGAGAATATTAAATGGAAAACACAAGGTTTTGCAGTGTGATAAGTTTATTGCAGGGCAGTTATAGTAACTGCAAGTCAGAGAAAAAATGAAATGAAAGTTAATCTTATTTTAATGAGCTTCTTTCATCTTCAGTGGATGCCATAATTATACAGCATGCCCAGGTAGCTTCAGATACTTTGGATTTTCTTATAAACCAGTAACTGCTAACAGTTAGGTGCTTCAAAGCAAGCCTATCACAAACACCTTGATGATTAGTCCGTGAGGTGTCCCAACACCCCCGCACGTGTTAACCCTGCTCTTGGTGGTACCAGCTCCCCAGGAGTCTTTGGATTTCTTATCTTCAACGGGAAGGATGCAAACAATGATCTCACGGTAATAACCAATGTGCTGTTTTCCAAAGCAGTTTTTTTTTTTCATGTTTGGAGAACAAACCCAGAGTCTTTTTGCAGTTGCTGCGTGCAGCAGCCATTCCGCGTCGGCGTGTGCATTAGGAAAAAAGAGATTTTTGGCAGCCGAATTGCAAATTCCTCTTCAGAGAGCAAATGACACACTTGGTTGTCAGAGCGAAAGCAGGGGGAGGACGGGCAGGGAGGTCGGTGCTGGTGCGGGTGCAGGAGCAGCTTGTCGGGCCCCTCGGGGGCTCTGGGGACGTAGGGGGGCAGCCGAGGCCCCGGCCCCGCGCGGGGTACGTGCTCTGCCCCGGGTTACAGGGAAATGTGCTGACTGACTCTGTAAACCTGGCCGCGTTGCGTTTGGCCTGCAGCAGTGCGAAAGGCTGCCACGTCTGGTCAGAGCTACGTAATTTGTTGGATTTAAAAATAATATTTTCAGTTTCAAAGCTGAAACAATATTTTCCTCTTCACTTTTCAGTATGGATTCAATATGGTCATGTCGCATCCCCATGCCGTTAACGAAATTGCACTAAGTTTGAACAACAAGAATCCCAGGTAGGATATACTTGGTTTTAAAGTAAGGAGTGTAGTGTCGCTGATTTTCACAGGCGTGTTTATACACAGATCTGCAGCAAAAATCTGGCCTCTTTTCTGAATCAACATGTATACCTGCAGTCCGGTGCAAACAGCCGAGTGCTTGCAGTCCGGTTCCCTGGCTTGCAGAAGCTCCTGAGATTGTCAGTACATGTGAGCCGCTTGAGCACTGCAGCTCTGCTGCCAAGCCAAGAAGGGACCTTGCTGCTAACCAGCAGTTCAGCGCGTGGTTTCTCCTGGGGAGCAGGGAAGCCTCTTCGCTGGGCTCCCTGGGGTCCCCGGCTTGTAAATGCAGAGGAGCCTTGTGAGCCACGCTCAGCCGGAGCTGCCTCGCGTGTGTGATGGGAGCAAAGCGAGAAGGGGCTGTTTGCAGCGCCGGGTGGAAGCAGGGGCTGCGAGAGGAGAGGTGCCGCAGGCTGCGAGGGCGGCACCGGGACCCTGCCCTGCGGGAACTCACCGCGTCCTTCCCTTCCTTTATTTGGGGTTAAAGCAGCAAGCCTGGGCACGAGGTAAAGGGGAAGGACGTGGGAACATGACTGTGAGTGTCACATTTGGTGTCCCGTGCCTGGAAATCAGGCGTGGAAAAGTCAAGTGATTAACAGAGTGTAACTCATCAGTTACATACATTGTCTGTCTTTTTCTGGATATGGAAAATGCCTTGAGAAGTGACAAAAATAATCTAAAAGCAAAAAATGAATGTTGCTGTTGTTCAAATCCTCTTTTTTTTTTTGTTTTGGTCCCGTGATGATTTTTGAGAGCTGAGGGTGAGCTGGGCTCTGCGCCCGGGGAAGCAGCAGCCCCGGAGGTGCCGCCGCGCTGGGCAGAGCAGCAGCCAAAGGGCAAATCCAGAGCGCCGGCCCTTCTGCTTGTGCCCGAGCGCTGACACCGGCCCCGCACGGCCGGCCCTGTCCCCGGCCTGTCCCTACACACCCCATAGCAAACACTCCTTGAGCTTGTCTGAAAGAGTCTGGATTTTCTTCTTACGGCAGGAAATAAAAGTGACGAGTAAGAACTGAATGTGACCCATTAAAAATTCCCTGGGAAAGTGAACGTTTTACTTGCTTTCCAAAGGCAACAGTGGTACTGAGAAAGCCCGAAGGTATCTCTTGTTCTGCAACACGTGGTTTGAGTAAGCCCTTGAGCATGGCACTAATTCTGTGTGTGTGTGCATGATCCTGCTGTCTGCTAATAGTCCATGGGGCCGAGCAGCCCTGCCGGAGCTGCTGCCCACGAGGACACATTGGCCCTGGCAGCGTCACGAGGAGCCTGGCTGCTCCGTGGCTTTCCTCTCCGCAATCTGTTGTCTTCTCACCCTCCGTAATACGCCTGTGCTGGCGGTGCTGGCAACCCCTTTGCCCAGATCTCTTGCTCAGGAGGGGAAAGACGTGCGAAAGCAGCCTATATTTGGTTCAGAGAACCGCTTCTTATCCTTTTGTGGCTGTGAATAATGTAAATTATCGCAGGAAATAATTCAGATTCCTATAAGGAAAAGTGCAGGTCGGTATCAAAAGCACATTCATTATAGAGGGGACTCAGAGGAAACGGGCTGCTTGTTGTGAGAACGGCTGACTAATGGTTGGTGTGTGGTGACCAGGGGGTTGTAATACCCCCCTTTTACCCTCTTATCTAATAAGATAATGCTGCTGGAGTGCGAGCTGTGGGAAGCTGGCAAGCTCTGCCATTGCCAGGCTCACGTAACCGACGCCAGTCTGCCTGGATTTCCATATATGCATTCGGTAATTTAGATTTTTGCATGGTTTGATACGCATTAAAATGGTGAAAAGTTGCCCAGACAGGAGCATGATCCTGGGAGAGCCAAAACAGCCCGGGTCAGAAGGCGCTCGGCACTGTGCGTCCTGCGGGGCCGGGCTGTGCCGGCTGCTGGACGTGAGGAAGACGCCGGCTGCGAAGAGCGTCCCACGGCGTCCCCGCTCCTGTTGCTGACGCTCGTGTCTTCTTGCTTGCAGGACCAAAGCCCTCGTCTTGGAGCTGCTGGCCGCCGTGTGCCTGGTCCGAGGAGGGCACGAGATCATCCTCTCGGCGTTTGATAACTTCAAGGAGGTTTGTTCCTTTGCTGTGGTGGGATTTAAGGGGCTTTTGTGCTCTTCTCTGAAACCTGGCAGGCTGCAGCTTTCTCATCCAGCTAAACTTTGTCAAGTGAGGAGACCTGCAGGATTTCCATGAACTATTTGCAGCTGCAAGGAAGCAGATGGTCCTTTCAGGATCTGATTAAATGGTAATTTGTCTGGGGCTGAGCCTTTGAGAAGGTGTCCTTTCCTGCTAATGCTGTGGTCAAGGTAAGGATTAGTCCCCAGAATTAAGAGGGGAGAAGCAGGCTTGGATGCTAGGATCTGGTTTGGGGAATTTCAGCAGCTCTTGCACCACCTCTCCGTGCACCTCTGCGAAGGGATGAGTCCTGACCTGGTGGCTCCAGGGTGTAAATCTTTTCCGTGGGTTGATTGTGCAGCCTGTCTTAAGTGGAAAATAAGAGTTCTGAGGACCTTCCTTGGCTTCTCTCTCTCTAGATGCTTTTCTGTATTCTCAAGGGAAGAAACAGGAGTTCTGGGTTGGATCTGCTACTTTTCAGGGCCCAAGCTCTTGGGGTGCAGAACTCCCTTTTGTTACTGTTGTGTGGATATTTGTGAGAAAGTTACAGAATCTGGTTTCTGTGATGAAACATGGACCAAGCTGAAGGTAATATGAGCTCAGGCAGGTCAGAACTGTGTGCCCAGTGCCCGCACTGGTCTGTGGACCCTGTGTGAGTGTTTAGAAACACTGGTGTGGGAATGCAGTTCTGGAAAGCTGCTCCTCTGGTTTGCTTTGGATAGGGCAGGGATGTGCGGGTGCATCAATGCAGGAGAACATCTAGTCTGGCCAGGTCTAGAAGCGCTCAGCTTGCTGAGTCCCGATGGGATGGCATAAACACGGTGCGTGCAAGTGGGGTAGTGCGGGTGGCTGGAAGCCAAGTCGTTAACTCTTCTGCTTTTTGTGTTTTGGGAATTCTCTGTGATTAAGAGATATKAATCTCCCTGATTTACATGCACTGTAAATACCCGTGTGCAGCTCCCGACGCCCCGGCCGGCTCCGTGTGGGATCGGACTGAGCTCGGAGCGGGCGGCACCTGCAGCCCTGTAGTGCAGAGCTGGGATGAGACGCTTCCATTTCCTTCTCTCCTTTATTCCTTGGCAGCAGCGGGCAAGTTCCCCGTGTCCCTGTCTCTGGTTGCACCTTTGTCAGGAGAAAGGGAGGGCGGCCGTGCTTGCAAAAGGGGTTTGTATGGAAGAGCCAGCAGTAACATTTGAGTTCTTTAAATGGGGAAAAACACTGTGTTCATGCTCAGTGCAATGTTATTGTTCCGGTTTTCAGTTCTCCATGGCTTGTTACTACATTATAATAGGAAAAAGATGCCTCATTAGGGAGGACACTATTAGGGATTACGGAGGAGTTTGGCAGATGACTGCAGTAGAAATGCCACTCGTAGCAGTCCGTGAAGGAGCTAGATAGAGCTCTGTGCATGTCCTGGGGAAGCAAGAGGTCCCATTTACCACTTCTTCTGCCTAACCTCCCTGGGAAGGGCTTTGCTCCTTCCTCGCCTTTCAAGTCCTCTCCTTTCCCTTGTGCCAGCATTTAAAGCACCCTGGCTTTGCCCCCCGTTCTTGGTGGATGTTTCCCTGCTGGTTTCTGGTTGTTGCAGTCCACTGCCCGCATGCACGGGCTCACAGCCCTAGCTGGGGTAGCTGAGGCTTGTCGGAGCACATCCTGCTGCTCTGCCTGCCTGCCAGGAGGCAACTTCAAAAGAAACCCCAACTGCAGCCTAACCTCACGCCGTAATCAAGTCAGCAGGGAAAACAGGGTATTTCAGACCAAATTCTGCTTGCATTTAGAGCAGGAGGAACATGAAGTATTTGATGAGGCTTTGAGCTTTACCCTTATGCAAACGAGAATGGAATTTAGTTCTCAGGCTTTGGCTGCGCGGGGGAGTCTGCAGAGACAGAGCAGATCTGCATCTGCTCGGGAATTGTGATCAAAAAGGACTTTTTGCTTGAAAATGATTTTAAAGGCCAATTTTGCGCTGGCTGGGGTCCGGACGTTCAAATGGAGGATGTTCCTGTTATTAAGCTGTGTGTCAAAAATTATTCTTGTCCCCTTGTTTCCTCTGCAATGCCTGACTTGTACGTGGGCACAAGAGGGGCTCTTCCCAGTCCTTGGCCAGTAGGTCTGTACCTGGGGTAGCTGCTGGTGCCTGGGCTGAAGCTCTGTCAACCTCTGCTAGAGGACCAGGAAAATATATACATTTTTCCTTTTCAAGCAATTCTTTCCTCACCCTTCTGAAGATGACCTGAAAACGACAGTTTTTGAGTGTCTTTCAAAGCACTCAACCAGCAGGTTCATAGGCAACATCAGAAATCCATACGGAGCTCTTAGCTAACTTCCATTTCAAATCCGGGCGGATTTGGTAATGGCTAAATGTCTCCAAGGAAGGACCTGAAGATTCCACCGGTCTCAAATCTGAGCTCAGCTTGCATAAGAGGAGAATTAACATAGATCTAAGCTGAGGAGGGGAGAAGATCGCCTGGGATCCGCTGCGAGCTGATAAAAGCCAGCCAGAAACGGGCGCCGCTCTCTGCAGGACGCTGCTCTCCCCCGCGCAGCGTCGCGTCCTGTGCCACCGTGAAGTTCCTTATTGCATAAACACCCRCCGGGCAGGTGAGCTCCCCAGGGCTGCTCCGTGCACCCGTGTTTCGCTGGGAGTTAAATTCGGTGTTTAGAAATAAAATTAGAAATAAGCTGCTTTTCCCCTTGATGAATCACGTCTTTGAGGAGAGCGCCTCATCTTGCCCCAAGGCAAGGAGAGACCAGCAGGAAGAGCAGAAGGTTCCTGGGAAGGAGCTTTTTCACACAGCTTAGCTCCGAGTCACGCTTTGCTCTTGCACGAGTGAGGGACGGTGCTGAGAACAGCATTTTGGAGCTGTTCTTACAGGCCTCTCTAATGACTCTGTACTGGGAAACAACTGCTTGCARGCGCTAGAAAACGTCAATAGATTTGCTGCCTTTTCTGCAGCAGTAATTTGAGACTGCCTTGACCCTGCTGGGAGAGAAGTAAAAGGTATTTTAACCTAGCAAACACTAAATAGCCGTTTATTTTAGCAGCGAGCTGCTTATTTTAGCAGTACCCGTGGGGAACRTTGCTCTCTTGCTCTCCCTGAAGCGCGGGAAGGCGGCGAGCCCCGYGGAGCGCCGCGCGAGACCGGCTCCCTCCGGGAAGCGGGAAGGGTCCCGAAGGAGGAGGAAGCGGCTGAAATAACCTCTGGGCAACTCGTGGCCCCATGATCATTCTAACAGTTGCACCGACAGATTTCCTGCATTGCAAAGCCTGTGCTAACCTCTACATATTTCAGATTTAGTCGTTAAAATAATTATTTTTCCTGCCCTGAGCTCGGCGCTCGCTGCCTCGGCTGTCGCGGGCAGTGTGTAGCTCCGGGGTAAGCAGCAGTTTCTGCATGGGCTCTGAGACCATCAGGCCGTCGCCGCTGCAAGGCACAAGATGCGTTTCGCAGGCTGGCGAGCTTATGGCTCTGAATGCCTTTTCTTTGAACATATGTTTCTAGCTCAAGGCTGTCACCCTCTTTCTCCTCCTTTGCTCGAGGAAGGAGGCTACGGAGCTGGTGGCACGCTCGTAGCCCCACCAGCCCCGTGGATGCAGAGGGGACGATGCTCTGGCCACTGTGTCTTGCAGAGTTTGGACCATCAGCCAACAAACCCTCACTCCAGAGCCTGAAATACGGCCAACCTTCTAGCGAGGTCCTCAGGGTCCACATCACCACGTCTTATGGCCAGGTTGAGTTTYGAGCTGCCTTCTCCAGCAGACCTCAGTGTTGTACCATTTTGTGAGATAGCTGCCTGGGGCAGGTGTGAAATAACCTTCTGCGAGCCTGGATTTTTCTCTTGGTATCTAACACTGCATGTGAATTTTTATTTATTTATTTTTAAATATCCCTTTCGCCCGGTTACGTTGCCTTGCTGGAACTTCTTACTGCAGTCCTGTCCCGAGAACAGGAACAGCACCAGGGTTGTCTCGTTTGGACTTTGCTCCTGGGTGGTCCAGATGTGGAGCACGTGACCCGAAAGCCTTGTTAGGTGCATATGCACGTAATTGTCGCCAAGTTTTTCATAACAGATCTTTTTGCTTCCTTATGGGCTTGCATTGTACCTCTGTAATGTATCTAGCATCCAAGGTCTTCCGAAAGAAAAGTCCTTCAGGGTGGTTTTCCATAAAGCCACATTGTTCTTCTGGAACGACGTGGGCTTAAAGCAACCTAAAAAAAGTCACAACCTGAAAGGAGATGGGGTTTGTTGTAGCTGTTGTAACCCATTCAGTCTGTCTTGGTACATTGAATAATGCTCGTAAAAGAAATATCAGTCTTTCTTGGTAGCAACCAGGCTTTCAATGTAAATGACAGGCCTTGGAAACGTATTGGAATTAAAACGACAACATATGGTTTTATGCGGTGGGATTTGATTTCAGCTTTTGACTTGGACTTTGGCCAATCTTCAGGCTTTGTCTGTAGTTTCGCTCTCTTTAATCTTCCAGGCTACATTATTTCACGTTATGAAAGTCAGCTCACTGTCCCTTGAAACCGCGAGCTCCAGCACCGACGCGTGTGACGACGGTGTGAAATACCTGCCGGGAGCCGCGGGTCTCCACTGCTTTTCCTGCTGCTGCTCCTGCCTGCTCCGCTCCGGCCGCGGGGATGGCTTCTCCCCTGGGCTGGCAATGGGCTCATGGGGCTGTAGCTCTCAGGGTTGCTCCCTAATTTAATCAGTCAGCCATAATTGAATTAGTCTGCCATAAATAGCTCGTAGTTGTTTATGTCAGCCTTTTCCATCYGTGTGGAACCATTTACATTAAATTTTCCCAGAAATCAGTCGTTCCGAGTCCTGTTGCATGATCCCATGCACCATGGGGATGTTCATTTCCATAAGACATGGGCTTGTCCAGCTTCAGTTTTTCTGAAGTGGGAGCAGGAGAGCGCTGGTGGCCTAGAGTTCAGGTGAACCTGTTTTAATTTTGTTATATTAACTTTGAGCGCTTTGGGGAGCGGGGAGAGCACAAGGAGCATGAGCACTTGCAGTTGGTCCTGGAGCATCATCCTGTCTACTGCAGAGGAGAGGGAAGGCTCGAGGTGTGAGTGCACAGGAGCAGGCTGTGGTGCCAGTCACAGGGAAGGCTGTTTTGGTTTGAGCAGGAGCTGGATCAGGCCCAGCGTCAGCCTCCGAAATCCAATTATTTTGGCTGGCAGCTGCTGTCTTTGACTCGTACAGCGCGAGTAAGTTCCTGGATCTCTGCCAGAGTCTGGTATTCTCCTTGGCTCTTCCCGACAGGAGTCAGCTTCTCTGCAGCCTCTCGTTTCTTGGCCTCCTGAGCCGCGCGCTGTTCCCGAATGGAGACGTACCCGTCCCGGAGGAGGTGGATGCCTGGAGCGTGGCATGGGGCCAGGGCACGAGGGCTGCTCCTGGCAGCCCCTCTGTGAGCGGGGCCCGGGGGTGTGCAGGATCAGTGTCTGGAGCCGCTCGGATGGGTGCACGGGTGCTGAGCTTCAGCTTTTCACAGCAAAGCTGTCCCTGATCCGCATGCACACAGCGGCGGAGCAGGACAGGGTGCTGGCGCTCTGGATCGTGTGCAGATGCTSTGCACCGCTCACACTGCGCGCGTTTCATCTCTTGCTTCTACACGTGCACTTGGCAAACCAGGGCAGTCGGGCCAAAACGCTCAAGACACGTTTTCCCGAGTGCTTTTGGTCATTTGGGGTTTGTCTGTGGACACTTGGTGGCTTTGGAGAGCTTCTCTGTCAGTGAGGCCAGTTCTTGTGCCACAAGGTGCTGCCGGGCTGCAGCAGAAGTCGCTCGTGTGCTCCTGGTTTYGTTAGAAACATTCAGGAGCTGCTTCAACCCCCGGCAGCGCAGTGCTCATGTGAAGCCCTTACGGAGATGGAGAAAACGGTGAGATTARGCTGAAGATCTGCAACGTGAGGCTGAGGGGCTGGTGTCTCTGCAACCCCCCAGCCCTTTCCATGGCCCAGGATCGAGCCCGAGTGGATTTACTCTCCACTGTGCGTACGCAAGGCTTAGCTGGGAGCACTCTGCACGCTTAAAGGCCCTTGTAACGGGGGTGCTGCGTGTGACTGGCTGTGCTCGGCTTCCCGGGGCTGCACAGAGCCGTCCTGCTGGCAGGGATACCAGGCAGCCCAGCCTAGCCAGCCTCGGTGACCACGCGCCCAGACCCAGTGGGAAAATTCCCACTGACGTCAGGGGCTGACCACAAATACCTGGATAATAACTCAGCTGTGGCAGGTTTGCGTGGCGGTGGTGGAAGATGTATCACACACCCCACAACTGGGCTTTACTCAGTGCTCACAAGAGGCAGCAGAAAGCCCAGCTTGCCCGGTTGCGAGCGAGTCTAACGATCCCACCAGGTCCCATGAAACTCTGTGGAAAATCTCCTGCAGACCTGAGTGGGTTCGGCTCAGAGCTTTAACCTTTGTGTAGGTGCTGTAAGACAGATGCAGTTAAAAATGGAAAGTCAACTTTCTTTGTAAAGACTTGCCTTTTGGGGAATATCTGAAAGCCGGAATTGAGCTCTCTTGGTGGGAAACAGTGTAAAGACATATGCAAAGAGCAGAGCCGTGCCCTGAAGAGCCTGCTTTGCACTGGGAAGTGCTCCCGGCCGTCCCTGGTGTCYGGGCTCGTGTCCATGGGCGCCGTGCGGTCCGGCCGGCCCCGAGGGCAGCGTCAGCACGTGTCACCCTGCGCTTGCTYCTGTCCCCGCTCCAAGACACATGTGTGCAGCATGGGGCCTGCGGGGAGCACCTGGCCTGCAACCAGGAGCAGCCGTTTGTGTGCTGAGAACCTGGGGCTGGAACGGGGAGAGCGGTGGGAAGCGCTGGGGTTTGGCCGCCCGCCCGGGGCTCCCCTTGCTTTGCCTGCCGGCAGCCCAGCGCTGCCCTCAGCAGCCCTGCTAGCCACAGCCACGCTCTCTGCTCACGTAGCCTCTGATAATTTCCTCCTCCCATCCCATGGTTTGCTCTTTTTCCTAATTGTATTACAGTGGAAGCCTCTGTTGGCTGTAAAAGAGGCTGCGTCTTCCCTGGCACACCTGAGAGCCCCGTGTTTGTGTTTGCACTGTCACTGGGCATGGGGTTCGGTTTTCCAAGGGACAAAAGAGCACCAGGATTCACTGCACAACTGCACCTGCCCCGGTAGCCTGRCGGGACATGTGTTGCTCTGCGCTGCCTTGGTCACAGCAAGAATCTCTTTAACAAGCAAGGAAGCCTTGAGCAGATAAGGGGCTTTCTGGGCGTTTTAGCACTGTCTGGAGGTCGTTTTAACAAATGCACGGTGGTTCTTTTGCAGGTYTGTGGGGAGAAGCAGCGCTTTGAGAAGCTGATGGAGCACTTCCGAAATGAGGACAACAACATTGACTTCATGGTGAGTGCTGCTGGGTCTGYCCCTCTGCCCTGCGCAGCAGGAGCTGCATTTACCTCCCAACCCTTGCTCTACAGTTACCACAATGCAGTTCCTTACACTCCAAACTATTTAATATACCCTCCACTTCTAGTGTCAGCTATTTTCAAGAACTGTTATGAGGTACTGTGGTTGGAAAGCACCTTTCTGGTCGTGTGTTTCTCTGGGGCAGCAGAGCAGTACCTGCGGTATCAAGATGTCCATGCAGTATTCTGTACATGTGCCAACATCCTCAAAATCGCAGACAAGGAAGTGTGGGGAAGACTCATTGCAGCTGTTGCCTGTCCTTATCTGCAGATAAATATAACAGTTTTCAACACTTGTAGTTCCTCAGTGTGCCTGTGCGTGATTATTCACCAGCTCCACTTCCCCTGAAGCGCAACGCAAATAGAAGYGGAGGAGGAGCCCCAGCAGCAGCCGCGGTGAGCAGCGTGCACGCTGCCAGCGGCTGGCRCACGGAGTCGTGGCGGGGAGGAAGAGCCGACCCGTCGTGCACGCGGCCTGAGACGCCCTTCTGTGTCTGTCTGTTCCAAGCAAGGGTCTGGCAAGGCACTTAGAAAGCCTCAAACTCACCCAGTGCCACCGTGCAGCAGGAGAGGAGCAGGCGGTTTCCCTGCCTGGGCCTTTCTGTTAGGGCCTCTTTGTGCTAAAGACGTCTCTTTGACAGGAATTAAGAGTTAAAGCAGCAAGGCTGGCGTTTTCCTGCAGGCCTTGGACRCCCTTGTTAAAGAAAAGCATCATCTTTATTTAAGGTGGCCCGTTGTGAGGGTGGGGAATGCGTGTGTGCACGCAGGGCCAGGCAGCCCCGAGGCCCACGCTCAGCATCAGTGTGCATGGCCTGTTCCACCCCAAAGCTTTCTCAGCCTGTAGGTTGAAGGCAGCGGTGAAATTAGCTTGAAAACAAACATTTTTCAGGACTTGCCCGAATACTAATAAAAATCTGCATCCTTGGGTTGCTTCCACCTGCCGAGGGCTTGAATCTGTGACAAGCCCAAAGGCAGGAGAGGGAGCGAGTCCATGACAAATGGTCTGGCAGAGCTGCTCCTTCTGTCACCATCTGGCCCTGGCTCGCTCCGCACGCCGTTGGGAGCGGAGCGCGGCGGGACGGAGCGCGGCCGCTGCCCTCGAGCCCTGTGCCAACGCAGGGAGGAGGAGGAGGGTCTGCCCATCTTGACAGGGCTACGTTAAGAAGGCAAAATCATTCATTTCTATAGGACGGGATAAAGCAGATCCCAGAGACAAGGCTCCAGTGTGTGAAGTTAAAGCTTGAGTAACTCAAGTAGCTTCAGTGCCTGAGGACAAGTGCAGAGATGGTCCTGCAGGACCTTGCTTCCCCTCTGCCCTAACTGGAGAGGAAATTCCATGGTGTAAAGACTCAAAACCCGGAGCTCCTTTTTGATCTGTGCAGACAGGGTCGTTGCAAGACATGGGTTCAGCCTAAGAGCAGGGACGAGACATCGCTCCTCCTTGGGCCCCAGGTGGCCCTTAGAGGGACGAGGCTGGGGCACCTGCTGCAAGTTAGTGCAGTAACCTTGAATGCTTGACGTGGCTTGTGCTGCAGTGTCTGTAGCAGGACTCTGTTGTGCTGTTGGAAACCCTATAAGCATTGCACTAGCACAAGGTATTCCAGCTTAAGGAGAGTGCAAAACCCCTGTAGGAGCAGCCGAGAGTGACAAATGCAGGCACACGTCGGTCCCTGTGCACTAAGAGAGCGCTGGGCCTGTCTGTGCAGAGCAGTCTTTGGCCTTGCCTTGTGCTAACGAGAGAGCCCGGCACCTCCACGACCGCTTTCCACGGAGCCTTTCTCTTTCCTGCCCCGTGCTTGGATTCAGTTGGCTTCCTATGACCTGGCCCCTTGTTCAGTTACCAAACCACAGACTTGGGAGCACATTTCCTGCAAGCAACAAAGCATCCTTTGTGCACGTCCTTCCCAGTTGTAAAACTCATCTCCCTTTTTCAGGCCCTTTTTCAGGCGCCGCAAGGCAGCGCCGTGCGGGCACCGCAGACGTTACTAAGCTCTTGGAACTGCTCTATCCCTTCATGCCACAGACAAGAACCTCCTAAGCTGGAACCCAGCACAAGAATTGAAAGAAAAGACGCAGAATAGCAACTCTCAGTTTGAACACAGAGTAAACATAATAAAATGTAGTCATTAATGTGTGTGCTGGCCTAAGGTCTGACCCAGCGGGGCCTGCTCAAGGGTGCCAGCTCCGGCCCCGCGCCTCCCGCTGTCCCTGCTGGTGCCCTCGGCCCTTCCCAGGGCATCCATGCGGGAATGCTCACCTCGAGGTGCTCCTTCCCACAGGTGGCCTGCATGCAGTTCATCAACATCGTTGTCCACTCGGTGGAAGACATGAACTTCCGAGTCCACCTGCAGTACGAGTTCACGAAGCTGGGCCTGGATGAGTATCTGGACGTGAGTACGAGCTGGTTTTGTGTCCCACGCCCGCGGTGCCGGGGGGTAACGTGCCCAGAGCAGAGCGGGGCGTCCCCTGTTCCGTGCGGTGCCCTTGGGTGCTGGCTGCGTGCCGGGGCTCGCGTCCCCTTGCAGCAAGGCAAGATGTGGCCGTAACGAAGCAGAGCTGGTCCTGGGAGAAGGGCTAGCAGCGCTGCGCTCTGCAGTGGAGCCCGGCCCGAGGGCTCTGGAAACGGCTCCCGCCTGGAAAAACGCTGCTTTGGATTTTGCTTAGTCCTTTCTCCGGACAGCCCGAAATCTTCCCGCCTCCTGTGGGAAAGGGTTATTAAAAAGAAAGCTCTTCTCTCTAAAAAGAAACTTTCCATTTTTGCTCTTTGTGTTTCTCCCTCCGGTTCTCCCCGGCAGTGCCGGGGCCGCGAGGGATGGAGCCGCCCCCGCTGCCCTCTGCAYGGCTGCTGCCTGCACGGAGCGCCCGCGTGCGCGAGGGGTGCCTGGGGGGGCACGGCGGGTGGTATGGCAAAGCTCGGCACGTTCGCTCCTCTTTGTAGAAGCCTGGTTGTTGCTTACGATCCCTGCTAATGCTAAAATACTAGGCGTTTTTCTAGGTGATGGAAATGGCCTGAGCTCCCACCGCGTTCACCCCGTGCAATTCCGCTGCTTCCGCCTCTGCTGAGTGACTCTCTTCTCGTCTTGCGTTTGCAGAAACTTAAGCACACTGAGAGTGACAAGCTGCAGGTGCAAATCCAGGCCTACCTGGATAACGTTTTTGATGTGGGAGCTTTGCTGGAGGATGCTGAAACCAAGAACGCTGCCTTGGAAAGAGTTGAAGAACTGGAAGAAAATATTTCTCATGTTAGTACAAAGCCGAGGTCACTTTGCCTTTGAAGCCGTCGGGAGGCTGCTGTTGCAGCTTGCACGTTAATGCTTTGGGATTGCCGGTTTCTTCTGGGTGAGGAAAGTAGAGGCTTGGCCAGGGGTAGAGCCTCTGGGTGAGAGGAGTATTTGCCTAAAAGAAGCCTCTGGATGACATTATTCCCTCTTAATGGGGAAGAATGAGGTACTTGCCCATGAAGACATTCTGGGTCTCAGGCAGGTAAACTTGCTGAGTGCTCTCTTTATGGATCCATGTGCCGCTGCTTCCTCAGCATTGAGGGCTTTTATTTTTGAAAAATTGCACTTCTGGTTTTCTTTATTTTTTTAATTGTAGACATGCTTTTAAATTAACAGCAGTGGACAGGGCTAGGCACTTCTTTATACAAATTAACATCATATTGGGAGCAGAATGATGTTAGATCTTGGTTTCACTGCAGTTCCTTGCTGGGACTGTGCTTCTGTTAGCATACCGAAACCTCRTAAAGTCACAATGTGAGCCGTATTTTTGAACCTCATATTCACATAGTTAATGGATGCGCAGCTTATTGTGCTCTTAAAAAATAGTTTGCTGGGACTCTATAGGACTTTGTGTGTGTGTCAGGGAGCTTTGGCCCCTGCTGCCTGCCAAAGGCTTGCGTGGCCATTGCTGCAGCACGCAAGTACCTCGATAGCATCACAGAATCACTGTGGTTGGAAAAGACCTTCAGGATCGYAGAGTACAAGCATAARCCCCTCCACCCCATGCCCGCTGTACCGTGTCCCTGAGGGCCTCATCTGCAGGTTTTTTGAACACTGCCGTGGACGGTGACTCCACCACTCCCCTGGGCAGCCTGTCCAGTGCTTCACTGCCCTTTCCCTGTAGAAATTTTTCCTAGTTTCTCACCTGAACCTTCCCTGGCGCAACTTGAGGCCGTTTGCTTTTGTCCTATGGGTAGTTATGTTGGGGGAGATACCCTCCATTCAGGTAGCTGGGTAGCTTCAGCTGCGTTGCGCTTCCAGATGGGATCGCTTAGTGCCCTGCACCTCTGTAAAGAGTTATCTTAAGACTGGGAAAACTAATTTMCATATAAATTGCAAATTCCTGAGCAATACGGTGCAATAAAGAGAGCTGATACAGCTCCATGCTGTAAATAGAGCCCCATCCTGCACAGTTCCTGGCGYTGGGGAAAGCAGGAGGAGGCTGCGGAGGCAGGAGCTGCTGCGCGTGGGCACCGGTGCCATCCCGGGCAGCGGGACACGGCCGAGGCCGAAGCAGGGTGGGCACAGGGTGGGTAACGTGCTGCGCTGGCTTGGATGCCAGCAGGGAAGGGCTCAGCACCCAGGGCTGCAACCTCGCGCTGTTCACGCAGGCACAGCTTTTCCCTGCTGTTTGAAATGAAATTATTTTCCACTGTTAAAAAAGAAAATTGTAAAAGAGTCATTCTGTTCCCACTCCTATATGACTAATATAAAGGATGTATTTCTATACCCCTTAGAGTAAGTTTAGTCTTAAAGGTTGTCGCTATACCATATATGGCCCTGTGAGGTGCTCTTCTGCTGAGAAAAATGATTTAAGAAAAATGGCAGTTTGCTTAATAGGTCTGCAGCTTGAGGTGCTCAGAACCTTCATGTGCTTCTGTGGCAAATTTTTCACTACTCCGGTCTCCTGTTATGTGGACTGGCCTTGTCCCCGCAGGACTGACAGACACTCCGTCGTGCGATCTGGGGGGTTTGGGCTCGGGCTTAGGTTTGTGGGGAATCACYGTGTTTTGAGTTCTTTCTGGCTTTATGGGAGAGCAGAATGTCCTGCTGGGACAGGATCCCCTGTGGGATCCCCCGTGGCTGAGGGACCACGTTCATGGGGAGCAGGGCTCCCCACTGCCCGAGGTCTGGGCTCTTCCTACACGTGCTCCTGGATTTGGTGGAATAGCAATAATTATTTGTCACATCTCATTCTGGTTAAGAAAACTGTTATCATTCATTATATAATTTATTTCTCTTTCGGATGACAGTTATCTGAAAAACTCCAAGATACGGAGAATGAAGCAATGGCAAAGATTGTGGAACTGGAAAAACAGCTCATGCAGAGAAACAAAGAACTGGATGTGATTCGGGTGAGTGCAGGGGTAAAGTTGTGGCCAGGTGCCACGTTTCAGCAGCAGGATCTGCAATGCAGTTTGTGTTTAGCGCAGAGTGAAGGTTTTAAATGCACTGAGCTGTTTCTGCTAGCTTTGCAGCATAGATTGCAGATAGATTTTTGTGTGTGCAGGCAGAAAAATGGACAGGTAACTCTTCGCATGCATGAGCAGGTCAGTGAACTGGATGGCCCTGTCCTGTCACCGAGCACTGTGGCTATTCCTGCATGGAGTTTTCCACGTGCCGTTGGCTTTGGGGGAAAATTAGAGGTGGGCTGGAGTCTTTTACAGTCTGCCTGCACAGCAGCCTCAGGGATCAAGGGCTGGTGTGGGTACAGGCACCCTCAGCCTGCTTCCCMTACACAAGCCAGACTCCTTGCTTCGCCATGTACGATTTTAGTAACACAAATTATTAACATAATATTGGGTAACTTTTAAGCCCAAGTGTTGCCCTGAAGTGTGGCTGCTTCTGGGCTTCCTTCCTGTGAATGTGTGCCCCGGATCCTTGCCGGAACAACCTCTCTGCTAGGTTAGGAGCTCTGATCCTGCTCTGCTTTATGGAGCAACAGSTGCCCACAGGCAGAGCAGGCAGCAAGACATCAGGCAGCCTGTGCCACAGGKGAAAATGCAGGCAGCATACCTGCACCATATAGTTAAGATTAGCATAATGGGAGGCATTATAAAAAAGCAGTGATAAAAAATCTGTATTCCCAGGAGTGGGTGTCCGCAGACATAATTTCCCATAGGACTCATTACTGCTCCAGCCTTAGYGCTAGCATGGGAAAATGCAAACGGAATTCTTCCTCACAAATGAGGATTTATGGTTTGCATCGGGACTTGTTGCTGGATAATGACTGGGTGCAGTGTGCAGTCCTTTATGGAGCTGCTCCTCTGTTCCTAGTATTGGTATTCTGGGTTTGGCAGCACCAATTAATACCAAGTTAAAATAATAACTTGTTTCTTGGCATTCTTAGGAAATCTACAAAGACGCAAATACCCAGGTTCATACGCTGAGGAAGATGGTCAAAGAAAAAGAGGAGGCCATCCAGCGGCAGTCAACGCTGGAGAAAAAGATCCACGAACTGGAGAAGCAGGGCACCATCAAAATCCAGAAGAAGGGTGATGGGGACATCTCCATTCTGCCCGTGGCGCTGGCTGCCGGCGCGCTGCCCGCAGGGGCGGACGCCGTGGCCGGCACCAGTGTCGCGGCAGGCGCCGGGGCCGCGTCTTCGGTGCCGCTGCCGCCGCCGCCGCCACCTCTGCCAGCCTCAGCGGCGGCGCCCGAGGCGGGTGAGGAGCGCTCTGGTGGCACGTGAGGAGGAGGCCTGGCTGGGACAGGGGGTTGGTGGCACCGCGGCAGCCCGTCGCACCGGCACACGGTGCCAGCAGGCCCAGGCAGGGGTGTTGCACGCGTGGGATGGCGCTCCACGGGCCCCTCTCGCGGCACAGGTGGCTTGCGGGTGTGGATGCAGGGAACGGAGCCGTGCCTGTGGAGCCGGATCGGTGCCGTTCCCTCRGGCAGCTGTTCAGCACCTGCCGTCCGTGCATCCCTTCTCCCGCGCCGGCTGCCGCTTCCCGCCGCGCCGCCTCCTGCGGGCTCGTGGATGCTCCCTGGGAAAACCTCTTCTCCTTCCCTTTCCCAGTGCAAAACGGCCCCGTGTCGGCGCCGATGCCGCCGCCGCCGCCTCCGCCACCACCACCACCTCCGCCTCTGCCAGGCCCGGCCCTGGAGGCGGCTCCCGCGGCGCCGCCGCCGCCGCCCTCGGCTCCCCCCTTGCCCGGCACCTCTCCCACCGTGGTCTTCAACTCAGGACTCGCAGGTACAGCGGCCGCGGGGCGCCTTGCTCGGGAGCGGCCGCGAGGACAAGGGGACGCCCCGACGCGCGGCGCCTCCTCACGCGCCTCAGCAGCAGCCGGCATCTCGTACGGAGGGAGTTAAAAACAAAAGTGCATTTGTCAAATAGCYGGCTTAGGTTTGGCCTTAGGAGAGGTGGCTTCTTCAGCGAAACTGAAGCCTTTTCCAGAAATATTTTTCCAACGTGATCACTTATGGCTTTAGACAAAAGAAGAAGCTTTGAAAACCCCCAAAAGTTTCATGGGTTCAAATTCTTTTGAGAGTACGATGAAGAAATATCTGGGCAAGGAACGGCAGACTTCTTGTTCTGATTTTTTTTGGATGAAAGGAAGATTTCCTGGCCAGCTTTAATCGTATTTCAGTGCACTCTTTGTCACAGGCCAAGTACGGGCAGCAAGTGGCTGTTAATTGGCTTCACACCCCTCGTCTCAAGAGCCCCGGAGAGGCTGGGGAGCTCTGATTAACAGCGCTGCTTTGAAAGGCGGTTGAGTGTTCCTGCCTTTAGATACTTCCCTGATAGAGCAACCACCATGGAAGTATGATGTAAGGGGTGTATTAAAAAAAAAAAAAGAAAAAGTGAAAGGACAAAAGCGCGGCGAGAGTTGAGGTTCTTGATTATTATTAAAAATAGCAGACTGGTTGCGTGGCTCCCCTGGGAACCTCTGCCCTGCCTGGGGTCGGAAAGCACGGAGGGTGACGGCTCCTGGGGGATACAGCCGCGCAGGAGGCTCCCTTTGCAGGGCAATGGGATGAGGCTGGAGTCACGAACGATGCTGCTCTAACCTTCACTAACGTTTTCTTCCCTTGTTCTTCCTGCTCCCCGGGAAGATGGGCCCATCAAGCTCTTCTGTAGGTTCCTCCCTGCTAAGTATCGAGCCCCTCGGCGCGTTCCCCTCGTGCCTGTGCTGGGACCCCCGGGTTGCGCGGGCAGGGGGCACATGGGTGGGCAGGGGTCTGGGGGCTACGAAGCTCGGGGACGACGGGGCCAGGGCACCAGCCAGGGCAGCAAAGCAGTTCAGCAAGAAACGCGCCTGTGCGCTTTCCCTTGAGCCTTCCCAACGGGGCTCTTCAAACTACTCAAAATTGGGTCGTTTCCGAGCGGCCGGGGGTGCCCCCCGCACGCAGCGCAGTCACCCTGTCCCCGGGACAGGGAAGGGGGTGTTTGCAATATCTGCGTTAGCTGCAGCAGAAGCAGGGCACACGGTGCACTCCCCTCCCTTTGCTCTCCTAAAATAATGCAGGAACAGTTAATAAACTGCTCCAATGTATGCATTAGCTGAAAATGTTTATTCATGGGTGTTTGCACCAAAAAAACAAAAAAACCCAAAGAAAACCAATTTCTTTTCATATGTTAAGAATTATTTTGGAGTAGCCACCTTGCCAAAGCAGAGTGAAGCTGCGGTTCCTTTGGCTTCACRGAAACTGCTCTCTCGTGTTTGGCTCCCAGCTGGACGGGTGCAGTGCTCGAAACGCTCCGGCTGCAGTTTCACTGCGTGTGTGTTCCTGGTGTGCACTACGGCTCCTTGTGGCAAATACGTGCTCTCGCCGGTAATTTATTCTTTAGAAGGTCCCTGCAAAATGAGCACAAGCACAAAAGGCACAAGAACACACGAGTGMATTCTTGGTTTGAAAACTGAATGAGGAAGCGAGAGAAATGTGCTCAGCATTTTCCCACTCCCGTGCACAAGCAGGGAGTGTTCCCTGAAACGATGCTCTGTGTCCTGCAAAACCAGTGCATAAAGTCACCGGGAAGGTAAAATGAGTATTTGCTCAAGTGCTTTGCAGCAGGGGAAACTGGCCCTCGTCTGAACTTAGGGCAAACCTGCAGCATCTGCACAGAAGGGCAAAAAATTAGCAAGGTGCCTCCAGCTGCAGGTGGGGYGGGCAGCACTGGGGAGTTGTTTCGAGGAGAGAGCAGTAATTGCAGTACGTTGGATGCTAACGATCCTCGGCTGGGGGCTGGTACCCAGCAGTGCTGCGAGCGGGGCCCAGGCGTCCGGGCCGGTCCCGGTTTGCAGACGAAGSCGCCTTTGCTTCCTGCATTGGAGAGGAAGACCCAGGGTTTGCTTCTGTTTCCTGTTCATGGCCTGGAAAAAAAACGGTTAAGCGATTTTGGGGTAACCYGTTTATTGATGGCGCTAGGGAACGTCCCAGTTTTGCAGCAGCTGACTTGGTTTGCTTGGTTTGTTCCTGCAGTGCTGCAGTGCCCGCTTGAGGCCGCGTCCGGGTGCACCGGGGGTCTCGGGGCGCTCCTCACGTCCTTCCCTCTCGTGTCTTTAGCTGTGAAAATCAAGAAGCCCATCAAGACCAAGTTCCGCATGCCCGTCTTCAACTGGGTGGCCCTCAAGCCCAACCAGATCAACGGGACGGTCTTCAACGAGATCGATGACGAGAGGATCCTGGAGGTAGGAGGCTGCGTTCCCGCAGCGCGGCGCCGGCTGCAGCGCCTCGTGCAGTGGGTGCATCGTTGTCTTCTCTTCTTAGGACTTAAACGTGGATGAATTTGAAGAAATATTCAAAACAAAAGCCCAAGGGCCAGCCATTGATCTTACTTCGAGCAAGCAAAAGATAACACAGAAAGGCTCGAACAAAGTCACGTTACTGGATGCAAACCGGGCCAAAAATCTTGCCATTACTTTAAGGAAAGCTGGAAAGACAGCGGATGAAATATGCAAAGCCATTCACGTGTAAGTAAAACACTTGTCAGCAAAGGAATTATATTTAAGATTTACTCRGCTTTTTGCTAAGTGGAATGATTCTGAATTGGCAGTTGATATATATGTTTTTGTGGTTGGAAAAAACCCAAGTGTAAGGATGGAACTGCTCTGAGCGTCCACAAATCAGATTCCCTGGTACTAAAATGTGTTGACTTGCAGKTTTGTGTCACTGTATCACTACAGAGGCTAAACAAATTAGCACTTCCTTTATTAGAGCAGCTAATTCATGTTTATCCGCAGTGTGGGACTGYGTATGGCAGCTCTGATTATGTTTACCCAGTGCTTTCTGTTACAACGAACACTTAAAAATCAGGACTAGGGAACACCGTTATAGTTTGTCGTGTAAAGTACAAGTTTAATCCAAGCGCACTGGAAGGGTTTTGCCTAGGATTAGATGTGTGTAGTGGCCCTCAGTGCCACACACAGATCTGATGCAAGTGGACACGAGGTGCAGGAGCAGGGCGGCGTTTTGCCATTTCCCATCCTGCTGACCGGGTCTTAGCTGCTTGAATCTTTGGGACCTGGTGACACGATTCATCCCTCACCTGCTCTAGTGGTTCCTGGGACAGAGCAGCAATGTTCCTGCTCCTTAGAGCTCTGCCTAAATTAACCCAGAAGCAGTTAGTACCTGGGGCCGTGGCCAACATCTGTCACTTGTCAGCAGAAGAATATCCCCAAAAATGTGGATTTTAGCACCAAGATTGTGTAGCCTGGTGAGGATGGTGATGCCAGGCTGCTGCCAGATTGACGCAGGTCCAGCTGCCAGGGTTACAGGACTGCTCTGGCCCAGTTAAATAAAAGGCTGCTGCCTGGCTCCGCGAGACGGAGCCCGTCTCTGCAGGCTGCAGCTCCCTCGCTGGCATCATTAGGCAGTGGCGGYTTCTGCTTGGGCTTTGCTGCTGCTGGGCTCAACGCTGCCTTTCCTGGCCTGCTCTCGCGCAGGTTTGACCTGAAAACGCTGCCGGTGGATTTTGTGGAGTGCCTGATGCGGTTCCTGCCCACCGAGAACGAGGTGAAGGTGCTGCGGCTCTACGAGCGGGAGCGGAAGCCCATCGAGAACCTGTCCGACGAGGACCGCTTCATGATGCAGTTCAGCAAGATCGAGAGGCTCATGCAGAAGATGACCATCATGGCCTTCATAGGCAACTTTGCCGAGAGCATCCAGATGCTGACCCCCGTGAGTGAGGCRCTCGCTCGTGACGCCGCGCGCCGTGGCCGTCGCGCTTCCCGGCTCCTCAGCCTCCTCATGTATGATGTATGGTTCTGATGTGTGACAGAGGTGTCCTGAGTTATTCCAAACGACCCTGCTGCTCCCTGTCACTTGTGGCATTTGCTGGGGGCTTCTCTGTGAGTCAAGTGGCAGTTTTCCAAAGCTGGCACATACCGTGCTGTGCCTGCGGTGCGTGTGTCCCGGGGGACTCGGGCATCACACGTGGGGCCCATAGGGCAGCTTGTACCTCAGAGCTCCCTCTTGTCCTGCCGCTTTACCCTTGTGGAAGTTTAAAGCTGGCTTAAATGAAGATCTGGTTGTTTGTGCCATCAGGAAAATGGCTATTAGTGCTGCTGTCCGAGTGCTTTGAAGTGCGTCTGGTTCAGGCTCATCCATCTTCCACAGTCCCAGGGGCTGAAATATAAATACGATTTTACTCAACAACCTCTGAGCGTGGTAAATCTGCCCTGCAAATGAATTCTTTGGAATCCTGGTGTGTTAGGACGGGATAACATTGCTGCCAGGGCCAGCTGTGTAGATCAGAAAGCAGGGCTCGTTGCAGAATATCAGCATTCAGAATTTGATTTTACACTTGGGCTTGACATGCATTAACCAGATCTCTTTCTRCGTTTACCTGTAGCAACTTCACGCAATAATAGCTGCGTCCGTCTCAATAAAATCATCCCAAAAGCTTAAGAAAATACTGGAGGTAGGTCTGGTTTTAGTTATATTGTGTAGCTKAAAAAAAAACCCCACCAGCTCCTGCCCTTGCAGTACTGACACTCTAGCTGGATGCTTACGTGGAAAGTGCTGCGGGGCTGTGGAAAGCGGCGCGTTTGCAGTGACCATTAACGCTCTGCTCCGCTTTGCTCCAGATAATCCTGGCGCTGGGTAACTACATGAACAGCAGTAAGCGGGGAGCTGTCTACGGGTTCAAGCTGCAGAGCCTGGACCTGGTGAGTGCGGGGCCGCGGCGCCGCCGCCGGGCGCGGGGACCGCAGACCCCCGAGCTCCTGCCTGCCTCTCTCCCTGCAGCTCCTGGAGACCAAGTCAACGGACCGAAAGCAGACGCTGTTGCACTACATCTCTAACGTCGTCAAGGAGAAGTACCAGCACGTGTCGCTCTTCTACAACGAGCTGCATTACGTGGAGAAGGCAGCCGCAGGTACCGCGCGCGCCGCCGCGGCCCCGCACCGCGCCTGCCGCACGGATAGCGAAGCCGGGAAAGGGGACGGGATTCCGGGGGTCGGAAGGCTGCTGGGGTCGCTGCTGCAGAGGGGACTCTGCAGGGCCATGTCCACAGTGCCGGGGCGCAGCGTGAGGGACGTCCCTGTGCCGCGACGTGCTCCAGGGCGCGGAGCGGCAGCGGGAAGGGTGCAGCGCTGCCCTTTGTCTCCCAGTGTCTCTGGAGAACGTCCTSCTGGACGTGAAGGAGCTGCAGAGAGGCCTAGACCTGACGAAGCGGGAGTACAGCATGCACGACCACAACACGATGCTGAAGGAGTTCATTCAGAACAACGAGGGAAAGCTAAAGAAACTGCAGGACGATGCAAAGATAGCCCAGGTGTGTTTGGGTTCTCTGTGGTTGGTAAGGGGGTTTCCACAGCTGAGAAAAGCAGCTCTGTGCAGAGGTGCTTCCTGCCAGAGCCAACATAGGCCCTGTAGCCATATGTTGGCCAAGGCCATGGTGGATCCCCCGGGATCTCCTCTGCGTTGCTTTGAAAGTATGAAATACTGCATTGGTTGTGGGGTCCCAGCCCTCGGTCCTTCGGGGGGAACGCGCTGTGTGTGCACAGGGAGACCCTTTGCACCCTYTTCTGTGGTAGCTGCAGGGCCTCTGTCTTGGAATAACAGCCCTGGTGCTTCTTGCAGGATGCCTTCGACGACGCTGTGAAGTACTTCGGGGAGAACCCCAAGACCACCCCCCCGTCGGTGTTTTTCCCCGTGTTTGTCCGGTTTGTGAAAGCCTACAAGGTAAGTGCAGGCATCTCGGGGGGGCTGGGCCCCCCAGGTGTCCCCTGCCCCGGACAGCTGAGCCCTCGGCAGCTCCAGTGCCGCACGGAGCTTGTCCGGGGCACCCGCAGAGCTCCGGCCCCTGGGACAATTCGTCCTTCGCCTGTGCTTTGGGGCTGGGGGAGGATGCGTTGCAGGGCTCGGGAAGTCTCCCCCAGCCCTGCTTTTACAGAGTCTGTTTGGAGGGAGCTTCTGTTGCTCTGCTCCACACTTGCTTGCTTGGAAGGCCTGGCGGTAGCAAGAGATAATCTGTGATGTTCAGAATCCCTGTGTCTGTAGAAATTGGAAGCTGTAACCCTCTTTTTTCTTTCTGTGTCATAAACAGCAAGCAGAAGAAGAGAATGAGTTGAGAAAAAAGCAGGAACAGGCCTTAATGGAAAAACTGATGGAACAAGAAGCACTGATGGAGCAACAGGACCAAAAGGTACCACACTGCTTTGACATGAGCCCTCACACTGGACCCAGACACTGTCCTGATTATCAGAAATACCCAGCTCGGTGTAAGAACTTCAGAATTTAGTTGCACAGGAGTGCGGGCTCTGCAAGTTTTCTTCTTATGGAGGGGAAAAACCCCGGGTCTTCAAACAGCAAGTCTTTCAAGCTGTGGAGTGTGCCCATGGTTCACAAACGGCCGCCGCAGCGCCTCCGCAGAGCTGGCACAGCCTGGCAGACCCTGAACTCCACTCGCTCTTGAGCAGCAATCTCCCTAGCATGCTGCCTTCTGAGCTTTACATTTGCTAGAAAATCATTTCCCGTGGCTCCCGCAGCTCCCGCTCTTAGCAGGGATCTTTAATCCCAGCTTGCTCGTGCTCTGGGGAGGGAAAGCCTGTTCTTCTAGCTTGGGAAAGCTTTTCAGAGGCCAAAGCTTGGTGTTTCGCTCCTGGGTGATGAGAAGTAAGGCCTAGAAAGCAAATACAAATGCAAGAAAGGCGAAGAGCCGGGCGGGCAGGGGAGCGTGTGACTTTGGGCTTGCTCTCTGCGCGGTGTGAGTTMGCGCGTGCCTGTGTTTCCTCCACTGGCGTTTCCACGGCTGGGGAGCAGAGCAGCGCGGTGCCTGGAGGCCCGGCCTCCCTGACCCCCTTTCTGTTGGCTCGCAGTCTCCTTCGCACAAGAGCAAGAGGCAGCAGCAGGAGCTCATCGCCGAGCTCCGGCGGCGGCAGGTCAAGGACAACAGGCACGTGTACGAGGGCAAGGACGGGGCCATCGAAGACATCATCACAGGTAAGGGCGCTTGGCAGCCTGCCCCGCGCAGGGTGGCAGCGTGTGCCCGTAGCTGCCCTCGCAGGTGCCTCACCTCCTGAGCAGCCTCGCGGAGCTCTAGCTCGGGAGATGGCTCGCTGCCCTCGCTCGAGGCCGGCACCGTCTGCTCGGGCGCGTTCCTCGCAGCGCGGCCGCCCTCTGTGTCCCCTCTCTCCGCACGCTGCCGCCCCACGCCCCGTGCCCGTTCCGTGCCCGAGGAGCGGCCCGTTGGGTGCCCATCCTGGGCTGCCCACAGCCCTCCCTGGGAAAATCCCCCTTTCCCAGGGACGGACCCGCTCACCCACGGGTAACGTTATTAAGAGCCTACGTTTGCATTAAAGAGTACTAACAGCAATTACACCACGGTACTGCACCAGTGCAGCGAATCATTTAGTCTGACCTGAATGATTTTTGGCCCTAAATTGCTCCAGGTTTTGTGRCTTTTGGGTTTGGGAGACGCTGCCCGGGCGCGATGGCAGCGAGAGGCCGAGGCCGTCGGCGGGCGCTGCCGCCTCCCGGCCCGGCTGCGCCGGGGCCCTTCCCGTGTGCCGCTGCTCCCATCCTGCTGCTTCCCCGTTACGGCATTTTCCTCGCCCGTGGCGTGGAAGGAACAAGATTTCAGCACTTTGGTAGCTCTAGGGTCATTTATTTTCATTTTACGGAGCTCTAAAAAGGGCTTTGGGCAGGATTTCCTTGGCTAAGCCTCTCCTGAATGTTTTTCACACCAGTTTTTCCTGTGGGAGGGGAGAACTGCTTTACCACTCAGTGAGGAAAGCCAAGGAATTTTTGCCCCGCTGGATGAAGGATTGAAATGCTTTTGCTGAAGCTTTCACAGCCTTGATTAATAGCTTCCTAGGCTAGTGCTCTTCATTCAAGRGGCAGAGCTGCCACGATATCTGATGTGCTTCGGCTTCTGCAGCTCCCTCACGTTCCTGGCAGCTTGTACAATTCTGTCAATTGTGCTCTCCTCTTCAAAGGGGAGAGAGAAACTTGYGTGTGAGCGAAGACAACCCCGGTGCAAACAGCAGGCCAGTGCAGGAGGTGCCAGGCTGAAGTAACCTAAACATTTCCTCTGCTCGTGTGTCTGGGATTGCCTATTATGGGGAGAAAAAGGAGAGTTAGGCGCAGAGGCAGGTATAGACCAGGTCTCTTAGACATGGACCTTATGGGCTGCAGCTATGGCAGGGAAATGCCCCATCAAAATGTTGTTTTAAAAGTGAGGGAGCCTCTGCAGAGGCACAGGCCAGCTCTGCAGACACTGAACAGGCCACTGGCTGCCAGCACGCTCTGTTCTGGAGCAGGTCTAGCCTTTCAATGAACACTGTGTAGTATATATTTATATATATGTGTATATTTTAAGAGTTAAAGCTGTCCTGTGCCCAGAAGTTCCTGAGCTGTAGTGTGGTTAGCCAGCAGCTGGGAACATGCAGGAGCCCCCCTGGGTGTCCTTCAGCAAGCACTAACAATGTACTAATGCCAGCGATCTCTGCTTCTCACCGTGCTCTGTTTGTCTTGTTTGGCTGTTATTTTCCATGCAGTGCTGAAGACTGTGCCCTTTACCGCTCGAACCGCCAAGCGGGGCTCTCGGTTCTTCTGCGAACCTGTTCTCACTGAGGAATTCCATTATTAAACTATTCCTCTTTCACATCTGATGCCCTTAGACACAAACCAGGTTGCTGTAGATTTTTGACACTTGTCCGTTTGTGCGGATCTCAGCCAGGATCATGCGAATGTTGAATGTATAGAGATGTCTGGCGTCCACCTGAAGCTGTGTTTCGTGTCGCCCTTGTCGCATGCTCCCGCGTTCCAGTCACCTTCTGTTCCCTTCCATCTGTGTGCTTGGTGCTCCGGGCCGTCCTTGCRTTTCCAAGGCCTCCCCCATCCCAGGAGCAGTGCCATAGAACAGCAAGCGCTCACGGCGGGTCGCAGGGCGCCGGGCGCCGCACGGTGACAGCTCGCTTGGCTTTTCTATGGCATCTCTGCTGGTCCCCGGCGTTTTCTCTGCCCTGGTAGTCAGTTACTGCATGCACTAAATGAGCTTTGCGCCAAGGACGGTGGCGGTGCGCGTGGAGGGGCTCGCGGGTGCCGGCGGGGCCGCGTGTCCCGCGGGAGGAGCCCGGACCCCTAMCCCGCACCTGCATGGGGGCTGCACGCGCTCGGCTGCCTCGTTTCTCACGTGCGAACCTTCAGCAGCGCCCTGCCCGCTCCGGGCGCCTGCAGGCAGCGCAGCCTGGTGAGCACCCATTCCCACCCAAACTGGGGCTCCCCGTCCGCAGGGACTGGGAACGCGGGCGGGATGAGGGGCAGCAGCCACGAGTGAATTGGCAGGGCTGGGAATGGGGCGCTGGAGAGCTCGGCATGGAGCTGCCGGCTTGCGTCCCGCGGCGGGAAGGGCTCTGCCTAACCCTGCATGTCGCTAACACCGTTGTCTTGCATTAAGGACTCAGTAGCTTAAGAAGACAACAGTGTTTCCCCTCCGCAATGTGTATTTTTATAAAAGCTTCTAATAAAATTGCAAACTCATCAGCTCAACCGTTCTTTGCTCTTTGCAGTTAATTGCTGTGTTATCTCCCTGGAGCCAATCTTCAAAGCAGCTTGGACTTGGTTAGCAGGAGGCCAGGGGGGCACCCTGTCCTTTCCGCTCTGTTCCTAACCCGGCCTTGCCCTTCCCTCCTCCTCCCGCTCTCTTGGCTAACACGCCTGGGATCTTGGAACGCTGAATTGACTTGCTCTTCATTCTCCATCCCATCATTTTTTTTTTTTACTTAACCATCATTTTGTGTTTTTTTTTTTTTCTTCTGTTTAGCCCTAAAGAAGAATAATATCACTAAATTTCCCAATGTTCACTCGAGGGTAAGGATTTCTTCTAGCACACCGGTGGTGGAGGAGACCCAGAGCTGGCAAGCATCACTTTTTACTTAGCTTCCTCCTCTCTCTGTGCGCCAGGCAGCTGCGGGTGGATGGAGCCGAGGGCAATGCTGGTGAGAGGCTGGGCGCCCCGTGCCGCCCGGGAGCGCGGGGAGCCGCCGGGGAGCCTCCGGGACACGCTCCCCGCGAACGCCGGAGAGGCTCCCGCGGGGCCTGGACAGTCCYGGGAATGGCAGCGGCTGCTCCGCGTGGCCCCGGAGCAGCCCAGCCTTGACCGGCCCCGCGTGCTCCCGCTTTGCTTAGGACCCGGCTCTGTTAGGCCACTGAACTGGCACCCCCAGGCTGCCACCCTGGCTCCCTCGCGCCGGTCGGGGTCGCAGCGGCTCCTCTTTCTCACCATTCTGCCTTTGAGGAAGCGGCTGCGCCCGGGCACATTCCGCCCTGTTTGACCAAACATTTCCAGCCTTTCCAAGGCTGCATCCTGCGTGATCCGCTCAGTCCGTTGCGCCCCGGGTGCTTGGACAGCCCCACGCAGGGGGCTCGGCGGTGGTGCAGAAAGGCCCCAGCTGCTGTCGGCCCAGCCTTTCACCAGTATTCCCAGCCTTTCACCAGTATTCCCGGGCGCCTGGCGAGCCGCTGCCGGCCCCGTGGGCTGCGGCTCCCGCTGCCCTCCCCAGCCAAGCTGCTTTGATGGCTTCCAGCAGGCCGTGCTGTGGCCGGGCGGCCGCGCGTGCATGCGGAGCGCGAGCGCCCGCGCCGGCCCGCGCTCACGGCCGCCTCCTCTCCGCAGATCTCCGCAGCCAGCCGTACCGCCGGGCCGACGCGCTGAGGAGGAGCGTGCGGCGCCGCTTCGACGAGCAGAGCCTGCGCGCGGCCAACGGCACCGACATCCCCATGTGAGCGCCGCGGCCGCGCCGAGCCCGGAGACGCGCGGCACGCCGGCGCCCGCCGCTCCGCCGCCGCTAACAAGTGCCTAGAACTGAAGCACCTGCTCCGACTAATCAAAGCAATAGGACTTGGCTTGGCTGGGTCTCGCTGTACACCCACGCATTYTCCCGTGTTCCTAACCAAAATGTAAAGTAGGTGTTGCCTGCGGCTGCCGGGTTCTGCTGCGCTGAGGTCTGCAGGTGACCTGCACACAGGGGAGGGCCCCTCGGCCGCGTTGCCCACGCACCCACCTCGGCTCCAGCTGCACTTACAGGCTCTTCTTTTTGTGTTTTTTTCTTTACTTAAGAAAAAAAAAATTATATTTATATATATATTAAAAAAAAAGGGCTTTCCATATGTAATAGGGCAATGCTGACAGGCCTGGCCCGCACCTTTCCCTCCCGCAGGCGGCAGCGGGGCCGTGGGGCGAGCATCAGGACGGGAATGCTCGCGGAGCATTTAGTGCAGAGCCGAGCGTGGGAATGCGCCCTGGTGCCGCCGCTCCGCGTCCCGGCTCCGGCGTGGGACGAGCAGCGGGAGCGCGGCCGCGCGGCGGGCAGCACCGGCAGACCCGGCCGCGCGCTGCTCGGCCCCGCCGGCGTCACGGCAGCGATATGTCAATTGTAAAGTTTATTGTATAGTATTTAACCACTGAATTCCTTTCTTTTATGTTGTGCTTATGTGAACCACTGGTGAAGGTCCCATTTTTTTTCCTTGGATAATGTGTAGTTATATGATAATCTGTTTTTAAATGTACAGATATTTTGCTACAAAATTGGTGCAGTTTTTTTATGGTTTTTACACTTCTCTTTTATTCCCACTTTAGCCTCTGGGTAACAATGTAAATATTGTTTAAAAAAAAAAAGAAAAAAACGCATCAGCCTGTGCTATACAATCTGAATGTTATTTTAACTTATAGTTTTTGTTTTTATATTTAACTAAATGGACAGTTTGGGGCTCAAAGTTACCACATTGACCTCTGCTTCCCTATTTACAGGACAATATTTCCTCTAAAAACGGCCCCGCTGTCGCCCTCACAGCACCGGTGCCCGACATGCTAAAGAGAACATGCCCCGCTTGCCGCTCCTCACCGACAGGCCAGCCTCCTAACCTGTGTGAAAAACRTGGCAATTAATTTAATTAATTGTTAGCCAGGTGGTTGAACCTACTCGCTCTCACATCCTTAAGCTCAAAGGTATTTTTTTAATGTAAGACCCAACTCACCAGGCAGATAGGCCATAACACTGGCATGTTCTCTTTAATATTTTTCTAGTACTAGACCTGCTTCTTAGCAATATTAGGAGTGTTTTATAGGAGCCGTTCATGTTACCTTCCTGGTCTGTTCCTGGCATAAGATCCAATAAACTATTTACACGCCTCCGCGGGAGCCAGGCCTGTGTGTGGGGCCGGCGGCGGCGGCAGGACGGGGCTCGAGGCACCCGCGGCGCTCGGCGGGTTCGGATCCCATCCCATCCCATCCCATCCCATCCCATCCCATCCCATCCCATCCCATCCCATCAAGTGGTCCCAAGCGCTGGCTCAAGCCGCCCATTGCCATGGCTGGGCCTGGAGTTTGGGCAGGAGCCGCCACCAGAGCAGGAGCTGCCGCTCGCTCGGCCAAAGCTCGGCTTTAGTTTTAACAAAACCAGTTTGGTGGAACCTGCTGGGCGCAGCCCGGGCCCCGGCAGGAGCCTGTGGGGCTGCGCGGGATGGGGACAGCAGAACACGGACACGGCGTCGGAGAAACCCGAAACGTGTGAGAAATGCCCCAACTCSCGCCTCGCGAGGCAGAGACGGAGCTGGAGGCCGGAGCGAGGCCCTGTGCGGGACAGAGACCTGCGGCCCGGCCGCCGGGGAACGAGGAGGAAATCTCCATTTCCCTCTTGTGCCTCGCCAGGAACACCCCTGATTTTAAAATCTGATTTAAAAAATGGAAAAAAATCCATTGGAATAATTGATATTTACACTTTGTTATTATTTTTAATGGAAAAATAAAGGCAAACCTTTAAAAAGTAGTATTTACTTAGAAACRTGTTTCTGCTCCAAGTTCTGCAAGGCAGTCGCAGGGAAGGTGCGAGGCACTTGGAAAGCAGGAGAGCCTGTGCAAGACTGAACCGGCTCCGCGCCGCCGCATCCCCCTTCCCGCGGCAGAGCTGACGCTGGACGTGATTCCAACTTTGGGACGTGAGTCACAGTCRCCTTCATGTCCTCGAAGCTGCGGCTGCTCGGTCGCCCTCGAGCGGCTGCCTGTTCAACACCCTCCCCCTTTAAAACACACTGACAAGGTTTGTGAAATGCGTGTATAAAATGCAGGCCCATTCCAACAGTTCTGGGAACAGCAACTTTTTGGGGTCCTCCTGCACCTGGGGGAGCTGCTCGCGCAGCAGGAGAAACCCGGAGAAAAGCCAGAGCCGGCACTCGAACCTGTCTGCAGCATCCTGGGCTTCGGCCTTACACAGCCCTGCGTGCCGAGAACCACCCCAGGTGGGACCCGCAGCCTGTTCCTGCACTTTCCGGGGTGACATCGGCACCGGCGTGTTGGAAACTACCCTTTGCTCCGCTGGAAGCCACGCAGGCGGCCCCGGGAACGGCGGCACCGCAGCCCTCTCCAACACCTCCCCTTGCCCTCGCAAAGAGGCAGCTCGAGCGGGAACCACGGAACCACCCAAGCAGCCCCGCAGGGCCCAGGAAGGCCACGGGCTTTAGCTCGCTGGAGCCAATGCCAGATATTACTAATAACTGCTGTATTAGGAAAAAATGCACCAAAAAGGAACCTCAAGTCTAAAGTCCTCAGTTTTTGGCATGAAGAGCTGTCGCTTAAAACATTGCTACCTTCCACTYGCTGCATTTATCAGAACTGCACACAGTATTTAAAACTAGAAATAAATACTAGTACACGCTAGGAGACAAGGTTTAATAATTGATAAAAATGTACAAAAATATTCAAATTGGAGCGTTCAGACATTGTACCCACGGCGCGGGCCGGGCCAGGCGAGGAGGGTTGAGCGGCTTCCAGGTTAACGCGGGTGACGCTGCAGCTGCTACCAGGACCTGGGGCACATTCTTCAGCAGGCTCTTAAGGCAACAGATTGAAGATATTCCACAATTTGAGTTTTTGAATTGCTAAGGAGCGGGAGAGGGGCTCTTGCTGCTGCCGCCGGCGCCGCGAGGTGCGGAGCGGAGGGAGCAGCCGCGGCCTCTCCTGCCACAGCAGCACAAGTGGGTGGGCGGTAATGCAGCTCACAAAAAAACAATTCCTAGTTTTGACATGTCTTTGTACTACAGAAGAAAGGGATTCAGTTCTCCCCTTGGCGCTGCCTTTCCCTTTCCAAAGGGCAAGCAAATCCATGAAGCAAAGGAAAGCACAAGGAACTCTAGCAGGAAACTTTCTAGAAGGGACGTTTCAGCCGYGGCTGGCCAGGACWGGCAGTGCTCCTCCTGCTCCAGGAGGACCGGCCACAAGAGGCACCTGCCTAGAGCGGGGCCCAGGCCCCCCTGAGCCTGCGCCCAGGCCCCGGCCCAGCCGCAGCGCCGGCCCTGCCGCTGCTCCCTGCCCACGGCTCCGTCCTGCCTCGGGYGCCCCGCACACGCAGCTTCCGACTCACAATTTCGGTGGCTTTTCTAGGTTTGATTCCAGGCCCGTAACAATAGTACTTGAACATATTTGCGTGGTAAGATTAAAACCCACTGTTATTTCAACAGTGGAACTCGGGATAGGGAAACCTACGTCCCCACTGCGACATTAGTTTCTTTTATTATGCCACAATGTAAACATATTTGGTATAAATAACGTTCTCATTGATCTTCATCCAGTTGCTCCAACAGCGTCCTCCTCTGCTTCTCCAGCTCGCCCTCGCTCAGCTCGCTGCCCGACGTGTCCCAGTTGCCCTGTGGGGAGAAGGAGGGTTCCTGGTGAGAACCGTTGGTTTTCCAGGTGCTGTGACCCACAGGAGCCAGGCGCGTGTCCTGGCCCAGGGTGACACCCCAGCTCACGCTCCYGAGGGAGGCACCCACGTTCAGGCGCTTCACTGAGGTTTTCAAAGGCAGCTCGAGGGCGAAGCTGGCTGTTTTAAGAGGACAATGCGGAAAGCAGACATCTGCCCCACGTGCTCTCCAGGCGGAGCGCATGGGGAGGGCCGTTAGCCAGAAGGACACTGCCCCTGAACCGAGCGATGCAAACAACTACCCCAAAGAGAAGCCCAAAGGAGCTGAGCACCAACTGATGCAATTTKCATTCAAACCCTTTTGTACTTGTTTGAGAATACTGCTCGAGCACCTCTGTGAATGAGCTGCACACCAAGCAACACCCAAGAGCGGGGCCTACGGCCCCGAGCGCGCTGCCACCATCTCCCCGCTCCACAAGGCCACGAGCGGCAGAATTTGTTCCRCTCAGACTTCCTCCCAGTGTCAAGTAGGGCCAGACGAGCACCACAGCGTCTCCAGAAACCACAACACTGCATTTCACAACAGAGGGGCCACAGCGCCCCGCAGGGCTTCAGCAGCTGGGCTGSGCACAGCGCTGCACCACTGTAGGCAAATCAGGAGCCCCTCGCCCTTCTAATAATAAAGACCTTTGTAGCAGCACGGGCTGCGATTCAGTGCGTTCTAGAAACAACCTGCCCTTTCACTTTTCAAATGGCATTTACCCAAACTGTAATTTAACACATCAAAAAAACACATGAAATGAGGGCACAGGATCTGTATGATTTTAAGTTTCTCTGGAATACCTGGTCCACTTCACATAAAAATGGAACCAAATATAAAAAGTCTTAAGTAAGCCCTTCTTGAATCTATAAAGAAACTGTACTGTATTACAGCATCCCACTGATATATATACAAAATGGAAACAAGAAAGCTTACTGAATCTTTTCCAGGTCTTTTTTTAGTAGGAGATTTATGTTTTGATTCAGATCTTTGTCTAGCTCTATCCTTTTCACACTCTCTATCTTTTTTGTCTTTTTCTCGTTCAATATCTGATTCTGGTGAATCCTGTATAAATAAAGGGAAAAATATTAAAGCCTCTGCATTCCCATTTTATTAACATACTGAATAATTTATATATCCAATACCCACAAATCAGCAGGGTGATAAAACACTTTTAATATAGGCTGCATGGGAAAGTAACTGCTTAAAGTAGTTACTAAATAAACACATGCTATTACCCACAGCAGAGATAAATAATGCAAAATCACTACTAAAGTGATTTGAAAACAGAAGTGGAGGGATTGTTGAATATGCAGCTTTTCCCAATCCTGTTGCATGCGAGGATGGCACAGGCTGAGATTTACCATGTGGGGTCCAATGTACACAAATGCCATTTACTTAAGGCCACCCCTGGAGTGGGGATATCTGGTAAACATCCTTCTGCTGCATGGTTGTCTGACCAGACTTCAATGCTGGCTGGACTTTTACTGGAATATTAACTATATAGCAAAAAGATTAAGGTGCCATGACTGGATTCTTATTCCATGTTTTATCTCAGTGTGGCTAATTTCTGTGGCCCTGCTTTCGTTACAACATTTGCTAGTAGTTTTTTTTAACCAAATGCCTAACAACTAACACCTTTCCCCTCTTAGCACACAGCTAAGTGTTGTTAAAGGAAAAAAAAAAAAAAAAAAAAAAAGAATTGCCGAAACAAAAATACATCTGTTTTGAGGAGTTTTGTAGCTCCCATGAGCATCAGGAGATTCAACTTCCTCCCTTAGCCACAACCAAAAACATTCCTTGGCCTCAACTAACACGCAGAGTGAGAGCTTGTTTTCTGCTGTTCAGGTTCTTTGATGCTCCCTTCACCTTACTGTGAAGGCTTTTAACACAACCCCCTCACACCCAGGCAGGTTTGAAAGGAGTGATGCTCAGCAAGAAGCACAAGGAAGACAACTGTGATCCCTTCCAGCACTCCCTAACAGTGACCTCCACGGACTGCAATGGCAACAAACGGAACATGTCAGGCTACTAGCACAATGGTCAGGTTTGCATAAATGGTTGAAGTTAAAATCTCCAAATTTAAGTCTTGAATGGTTTCATTTTATACAGAAGTGACGTTGCCATGCTACCAATACCTCTTCATGTCTGGTCTCACCTAGGCCCTACTGCAAAGGCAGCTGGATGGCTACAAACACCTAAAAAGGAGTAGCAAAAGCACACACGGTGTTGCGTTCCCTGCCAACTCATAACAGCTACTTACTGACTTATGTCTTCTCTTCTTGCTCTTCTTCTTGTGTTTTTTCGACTTCTTGTAACTTCTCTCTGCAAAATTAAGGAAAAAACACAAAAATACATGACGAAAAATATTAAGGCACAGCAACAAAACAGTAACACCCATTTAAAGGCAAAAAAATGCATACCAGATTCTGCACTAGAAGAACGTTCAGAAACGGATCTAGATTCTGAACGCTGCCTCTTCTTCTTTGAATGGCTATCGTCATCCTCCGACTCCGTGCCCTTGGGGCACAAAGCAACATTTTTAGCAGTAAGACAGTGTCRCAAAGAAATTGGACAGCAATAATCTTTAATGCATGATGAAACAACTCACTGAACGAGAGCGGGATCGCTTCCTGTGATGTTTTTTAGACTTTTTAGAATGTTTCTTATTCTTTGAATGATGATGCTGGCATTCATGCTAGAAGATAAARGATTCCAAATGTTATATTTGGACTATAGGACACAGCAGGAAACTAATGATGTTTCTCATCTCCCATAAAGCACCTAATGCTTGCAGTTTAAAAACACACAAAAAAGGTATCAATATAGTAATGTTAAAGTTTTAGTAACAAGTATTTAGGAGCAAAGCAACACAGAGCACACGGTACACCTGGGCCACTGCTTCAATGCTTCTAATTTAAAGCACTTGCTCTAAGTTGGCCAAGAACATGGTGCAATATCTTGCTCTGACAAATCTGAAATTATGCCAGATTAAAATCTCTTAAGAACTCCAGAAAAATAAACAAAAAACCCCAAGGCATACATATGTTAAAATCAAAACTCACATTACCTAGGAAAAAAGGATTTAATAACACTACTTTTAAATAACGCTGTTCAGTAGAATTCTGTTAAATCCTCTCACTTCTGTATAGCTTATGAGCCAACTGGCCAAGAAAGTTTGAGATATTCTATAATCAGGAAATAAATAAAAAAATTACCTCTAACACATGCATGAAATCTTTAAATATTCTTTTTCTTTCAGATTCTAGAGTGATGTCTTCGAAAGCTGGTTCCTTCACAAATCTATCCCTGATCTGTAAGGATGGCAAAAATGAGATGCKAATGTCGACAGAGCCATTCAATAATTAAAATTATTAAATAATTAAAAAGCAAGCAAAAACATAACATGATTTCATCTACTAAAAGAGATAGTAAACTGTTTTTTAAATGACAGTTTCATATCTAAGCAAGACTCAACCAAAGCAGATGTCTCTTTTCCTGCATAAGCCGTTTCAGCTACGCAAGTCTAGCAAAATGTGTAACTTTATACAAAGTATACTTTGAGGAGGATGATTTTTAAAGGTTAAGAACAAAGTTACAAGTTTTTAACCATTTAACCAACTCAGTTGAATGTTTGCTTTTTACAAGTTCTGTTTTTTTTTTTAATTGCATTCAAATGTAAGTATCAGCATTATCAATAAAGCTACTACACATCAAATGTTTACTGAAGGAAAACAGGACCATTCTGATGGGTCTAAACTCATATCAATGGAGCAATACTGGATTCTCTGAGTTGTAGATCTTCTTTGTTTTACCTAAAAGAACACTAGCAKGCAATGGCCGTTTGCCCATAATAAAAAATATCCCAATTAAGTGGCAATACGCACGTCTTCCCAGACAGCATCCAGTTCAATAGGAGGCGTTGCTTGTTTCAACATGCTCTTGAACGCGGACTCTTTCCGCTTCATCTTGCGCGCTTCTTCTTTCTCCCTCTCTCTTTCACGGGCTTCTGCCTTTTCCAGCAGCTGCAGCAAATAAAATTTGTGAGAACATTTGAACGCCATCAGAAGAAAAGACTCTYAGCTCATCTCATGCATTTTTCGGAAAGTCCACTGATAGTTCAACCCTAGAGCTTTCTATTTGTCATATGGGTTCACAGCAAAGCAGCTACTCATTTTTAAAGCATGCAACTGCTCTTCCTCTGAGAGAATTTAAAAGTCAACTAATATTTCATAAAGCAGAAGAAAAAAAAAATCCTTCCTAGGAAAAATATCATATGAATACAAAGACATTATCAACCCCTACCACAAAATTTCACTTCAAGATAGAGTGAAATCATTCTGTTTTATATAATATTTTGAAGATATATATTAATTTATTAAATTATTAAATATAAATTATACGATTTATATTATATTTTGAATAAAAATCTACTTCTACTATGTGGGAAATGATATCAGGATAAGCATTCCAAAGGCACAACATCTCTCAAACATCAAAGTAGTTAAAAAAGATGAAGTGAAATAAATGCAGTTTCTTGTTTCATAAGAGATTTCATACTAAAATTTTAAAATAATTTCTAGGCATTAATACTTACACTATTGAAAGCCAGTTTGATATTTCCTGCATCTAAAGTAGTAGCTCTTTTAGTTGAGCTGATGACTGTAACAAAGTCTTCAAAAGAAGTATTCACTTCAACCACAAATCCTTTATCCTGGAAGAAAATTGACTGCTTGAAAATTGTCAATGAATTAGTTAAGTCAGAATCTAGCTCTAGCACACAGCACCCCAACACAATGAGTAATCCCTTCTCCCACGAGCCAAGAGCTCAATTATTGGTTTCACAAACTTGGATATACTGGTATTAAAAAAAACACGTCRGAGTAGAGGCATTTTCCTCCCTACCTTTAAGATATCTTTTATTATCTTCTTTTCATCATGGTAACGTGCTTTCAAGTCTTCAACATAGAACTTGAAAAGATCAAGTGCTGTTGATCCTGATGAAAAAACTAGATAAGTCAAAAGCTAGCTCTAGCAAAAGAGCTGCATTTTTCGAAAGATTTAGAAAACATACAACTAACCCAGCTCTATTCCGCCCCAGATCTCTATACTACTTTTTATGGGTTGAAGAGAAAGTATTCTTACCAGGCTGACCGAGCATATTAGTGAATCTGATGTCGGAGCTTATGGTCGGGTATAACTCCATCCAAGAGGACATTGAATGCAACTGACCGTGTTCATGCAATTCATCTAAAAATATCTAGCAAACGCAAGTGAAATGGAAAGCTGTAGTTACATATCATCAGCACAAATACTCCCGATTACTAAAATTTCGCTTTTGTTTAAATCAAATATTAGCTCCAATATTATCACTTCTTCCYGATTTCCTCCGCAACGTTTCAACTGAATTTCCTTACCATTCAGATCTATCTGCTCTTACTCTCCTTTGTTCTTAGCAGATATCCAGTAGACTTACTAACTACACYGCATACCAAATGATTCAATTCTTTCCCCTCTAATCACCCAAACTGCTAAGGATGCTGCTCAAATGTATGTTTCTGGAATACTCAAAACAAAAGGGCTTAGATCTAGTSAGCAGGAAGACAGACAGACTAAAATAACGCAACAATGCACAGCAGAGAAAAATTCATAGAAAAAATAATTTTGGAACTTTTTTAAAAAAATGTAACCATGTCCAATCAGTTTTATAATCACATATTACACTTTACATCTGAGATCATATTTTCACAGATCAATAGGTGATTTAAGAAAAAGCAATAGCCCACAAAAGCTAGCTTTGCCATGCATAGTTTTATTTACTCACAGACACGCAACTGTTCTATYACATTATGAGTATGTTTGAATAATTAAAAATAATAACTGGTGTCCTAACTAGTACTCTTCATCTCCCAATTACTGATTCATTATATGCACTAACATATCTTAAGGCATCGTGGAGTATATTTAGTCTAGRTCAGAAGATTCACCAACCTGAAAAGATTCTCTGTTTTTACGCTGTCGTCTTCTTTCTCTAAGCAAACTTTTCTGCTTTTCTTCTTCCTCCTCTTTCTCTAGTGCCCTGATATGTTCCTCGAAACAGATCAGTGCGTCTTCCTTATCCATATCTAGTACCAGAGAGAGGAGTAAGATCACAAATTAGTCATTTCTTCTTACTAAACTGTAGAAAGTTTTTTATCAAGATACAACTGTTATCAAATGTTACTGTTAATATAAGAGGAAAATATACTGAGCACTGCAGAAGGAAACCCGTGCAGCAGCAAAAAAATGAACTGATGAAGCATCACTGATAATACAGAACAAAGAAGTCTTTACTATGCATAAGTAACTGCATCCTTCTTCATTTYCACTGAATACTTGAATGGTTAGATGAAATCATGAACTGCTCTTAAAATACATATGAGAAAAAACTGCTCATAAAGAGGAGAAAAGAAATCCCTATCTTCCTGCTTTTATTCCACAGTTTCATTAAAATTTAGAAACTTACATGAGGATTGCTCTTTCTAGGAAAACAGTGCGAAACAAAGCAGGGCTTCACTTGAGGAAAAGGCAGCCTAAGAGGAGGCTATTTTTTTAAATACTTCAACTTTCAGAGACTAGTAACTATCAAGGCAATCCAGCCCCCCATGACAAGACATCCCTTGCTCTACCATTGAGATTAATCAGTAATCCGGTTTCTGAAGCTGSTATCTGTTTTCTGAGAGCAAAAAGACAGGTTCCTTAATAAAGGGTGCTCAGCAGCKATCACAGCTGCTCCTGACCAGACAAGCCACATCCAGGAGGCAGGAGTCCTCACTCCTGAGCAGATCCATTCCCTCTTCTAGAAGAGATTTAGAGACTATTTTACTTACTCTGAAGCTCCTCGTCTTCTGCAAAGGTGGGATTGTCCATCAGATACTGCTGAGCTTCTGACCAAGTGGTAGAGTAGGTGACATTAGCCATGTTATCTAGTATGTTCTTCAAAGCTTCCCAATTTCTCTTTCGTAACTGCTTAGCTTGTTCCTAAGGAAAAATAAGTTGTTGTTTTTTTTAAAYGCTATAATCTCTGGCTATACCAAAGAGATAAAAGACCATTAAAAAATAGGTCATCTTCAGAATACTGCTAGAAAACTACCAGTAAAGCAAAAAGTCAGCACTGTTATGAAGTACTACAGACCACTATGTAGTTGAACAGATGTAAACAGGAGCTAATCACAGAACTYAAGCAGTGCTCTGTGGGTGACAGCCCTTTTTGTTTTTTGCCTGTTTGTTTGTGTTTTGGGGCCAGACCTTAACAGCACTCAGGTTTTCACAAATGGTCTTGCTACACCCTTCATTTTTAATCACCAATTTGTTTCCTATCTGCCTGGGGAGGCTGGTAAGTGCTAGCATGATAGTGGAGAAAAACTGACTGGGTATAATTAAGGCCAAATCATCACTTCAAGTCAGTACACTACCACTTCTCTGTAACAGTTTCACCATGGGATTCAGAGCAGTTTTGAATAAAAGCTTATCACATAATTTAATACAACAATACTAAATATTTAACACAGAATTCACCACAACTTAYCTCAGTAAGAACAAGCAGCAAGACATTTCAAGAAATTGCCATTATAACTGCTATATTGGGTCAAATCAGAGGTTTGTCTTGTTTAKCTACCAGCAGATCAAAATTCAATTAGCCAAGGATTGAGAACAAAAAGGGGATCTATCCTTTGCATGCTTGCCCAGTTTCAGACAGTCAGCTTTTCAAGAAATTTTGACTTCCAGAATATTATCCTGCAGCAATGCACTGCAAACCCTCATTTACATACTGCACAGAAATGGACCTTCCTATTATTTAAGWTAAGTTATCATATTCCATCTGCTAMCTSTACTGGAATGTCCCTTGTGTTTTATTAGTAAGAAATAAAAAAACTGTCTCCAAATTCACCTCTCCAGAACTAGCCAGTTTTGAGGAGTTTCATCACTAGTACTTTCCTTCTTCCCGTCCCCATCACATCTTTCTAAACAGAAGAGCACCCACGATCACGTCTCATACCCGACCAACCTTCTTGGCCTTTGTTACCTTTTCTAGTTCTCTTCCTTTGCAGAGCGGATAACCTGACCTGTTCACTGCAACCAGCACGTGGTTCACAGTGACACAACAGCACTCCCACTTGGGTCTCAGTAACTTACTGTGAGATTGCTCCCCTTCTGCTTTCATTTTGACTGTCTCTGAAAAATGTGTTCAATCAACTTTTTTCCAACATCCTACAATGCTTGCAAGACTTTTCTTTCTGACCGGCATAAGCTAATTAACACTTAACAAGTGAAAAAGTGCTCGAGTTACCTTCTCTTTCTTAGACAGAAAAAATAAGACATCTTCATAAATTTCCAGACGATCGCGCTCAGAGATGGCATTCCAGACTTCCATCTCCCCAAACATTTGTTCAGCTTTTCTACATAAAATAAGGAGAAAAACATAATTTATTGCAAACACTATTTAAAACATCCCGTTTGGCTTACAGTAACACAGATTAACYGCACTATAAGCAGCAATGCTTTTGTACAGCAGCTCCCCAATTTTCTATCTTACTTGTTATTTACCATAGGCTTAAGATTGATAGTCCTCCCCTCCTAATGGCACTCGTGTCTCTTACTATGTGTACACAGTTTTAAACAACTTTTCAAGCTCAGAAATTCAATCTCTGCTTAGAGAGTAATTAGCTGCACGTCCAAAGAGATTCTTGGCATTAGGTACACAAGTATCATGTTAGACTTCTAAAAACAAGTTATGGCATGTGTTTTCTCCTAATGGCAGATGTAACGCAGMACAGCTCACAATGCTTTGTTTCATCTCTAGTTATTTGAAGCTCACACCATCAGCAACTTCATCTATCAGCACACAATGCGTCTGAGTTGCTTTCTACAGACATGAGAGTATTTCTGCTCCTACAAATATTTCAGCTCTTTCCAAGGGCTCAGCATTAAATGAAGATTAGCATTCACCAAGAATAAGCCAGGAAAAWTTAAGAATAAACTTGGCATGTTAGCAGGGATCAGAACTTCATTCAAGGTTGACCTTACTTGTATCTTGTTGTGGACGTCATTTTTTCATGATTTTCAAGAAAGCGCTGGAAAGATTCTTTAGCTTCTTTATATTTTGATCTTGCTTCTTCTTTTTCTTCTTTTTCTGTTTGAACTTTGTAAGCATTAAAGGCTTGCTTTTTTTCACTTAACTTTGCCAAAGCACTTTAAAAAAAGTGGGAGGGAGGGAGAAAAGAGCAATTTTAAAAAGGGACTTTATATAGAAAAAATAGAGCCAAAAGAYGACAAGATGCAGACAAACAATGCAGACTTGTGAGACAAAATTAAGTATAATATAACCATTGCCTCATATATCTCAAATTAATGAAAGATGCATTTAAAAAAAACCCTAATAATGAAATTGGTTTAAAGATAAAAGTTTAACAATAAAACCTAACACAAAAATCACAGTTTCAGGTTGCGTTTACACATTTCACAGAATACTGTATTGCCAGCCATATCAGCTACTTGCCTGCCAATGTGAACAGCAGCACTAAACTCAATTAGCAACCTAAAAAGTCTACAGCACTTGATTATAAAAATGTGTTTCTATTTCCAAAGAAATCTTAAAAAAAAAAAAAACATGATATAATTAAACCCAGCAATTTAATTTCTTTAGCTAATGAAGTAACACCATGCCTTGGCTATAGCTTGTGTTCAGAAACATACACCTATTTATCAAACCAAAAGTCAGGAGTAAAGTCAAAGTATTTAAAATGGTATCTGTGTACAAACGTAAAGTGAAAAGAATCAAGCAGTACCTGTATCTAGGATCATTAATGATCATTTTCATAGCTTGCTCCCAGGAAGCATTGGATGGTACCCGCTGTAAAGATATTAAATAATCATTAATTAGGCTTATTAATTAACAACTGCTTTCTTAAAAAGCAGTCACAGCAGATCTTTTAACACTTGGCAGRGAAAACACAACACGGCACTTCAAGGATTATTGCCATTTTAACAATTAAATCYTTCAGAAATTTGTCTCTACTACTGCTCACCAAAATGAAACACAAGCAGATTCTGTCTACACATGGGGAAAAACAAAGCAAATCTCATTTTACTCCCAACTGACTTCCATCTTTAGGACAAAGATGACAAATTCAGTGACTAGGTATCAGGCAACACTTCAATTACCAAAATTCTTATCCAGTGGAGAGGTACACTCAAAACTACATAGAGTTTCAAGACTATGGCTTTTTAAAGAAAAAAGTCTTTAAGGAGAGACACATTGAGACACTCTTTATAAAAGGAGGTAGCCTAAAAGTTTCTTGCAAATTCAGCTTTTGTAATTTTATAAAGCGTTTAGAAGCGTTTCCTGAAATACCTTTTCCTTTAACAGTTCTTTAAATGCTTGTTTTGCTTCTTCCTTCGTATTCCATGTATAGGTTTTTTTAACTGGTTGGGCATCTTCATCCTCTTTCTTTGAAGCAGCACTATAAATAAAAATTACTAGATTTCATTATTTTTAAGTTAATCATTCAAGAGACATAAACCACCATAATCAAATACTTTTTTTTGAGACTTGGAGTATTTTTGTTAACTCTAAAAAAGTTGCAACAAAGACTACATAGTATGACACTTTTTAACAGGCAACATACACACTTAATAAGACTATCTTAGTGAAGTATTATCAACAATGCAACGGGCTACCTGCTCAAATAACTTACCCATCCACCAATAAATAAATTATCCATCCACCAATCTACAACCCTGAAACTTAGCAGGAGTGCAAATAATATACACATAAGTGTAACAGGGATGGAAGTGCCTAAAAACACCCTCTTAGCCATTTACACCTATAAAACAGGACACATACAGGGTCAGTGGACGCATACAATATCATGCATTTATGAAGTGCTTCAGCTACAAGTAGATTTCTGCAGGGTTTAAAAGCTTTGGGGTGGGAGGTAATTTTTTTTTTTTTTTTTTTAATAATTTGATACTCCTTTTTCTTATTTATTCTTTCCTTCCACCAGAGACATGCTCCCATTTCACAGAAACGACCAGCTCARAGACACCTGGTCAGCTACTACTGACGACAAACCTGTTGCTAGAAGAAATACAAAACCTGCAGTAAAGCCAAATACTTCAATTTTTCTTACTCTCCTGAGGCCTCCTGCTTGGAAGAGTCCTCCGTAGCTGCAGCTTCTGTGCCCTGCTCCTGCCCAGCGGCCGCAGTCGCTTGCTGGCCCTGATCCTCCGAGGCGGCTGCACTTTCATTTTCTGCCGCAGAAGCAGCTGCAGTAGCTTCTGCATCAGACGTGGCTGTTGCTGCAGGAGCAGCAGTGCTGGAAGCAGCACCTGCAGCAGCTTCAGCAGTTGTGGCTGCAGCAGTTGTGTTTGTTGCCTCTGCTGCAGCTGCTGTTGCTGCAGTGGAGTCTTCAGGCTTGATGCTGCAGATATTAAACAAGGACGGTCAGTACAAGCACARGACAAGTTAACAGCAAACATGCTACTTCTGTACTGCAGGTTATGAGGCCAAGGCCTCAAGTTCTGTCAGGGAAGGTTCAGGTAAGATATTAGGAAGAATTTCTACATAGGAAGAGCAGTGAAGCACTGGAACAGGCTGCCCAGGAAAGCGGTGGAGTCACCRGTACTGTTCAAGAAGCGTGCAGACGAGGTGCTTAGGGTTAGCATTAGGTTTAGCAGACATGGTGCTGAGGGGTTTGTACGAGGATCTCAAAGGTCTTTTCCAACCATAATGATTCTATGATTCTATCTCAGAGAAAGAGCACARAATTTTGGACAGCTCCTAGACATAAGCTGCTTTATTGAAACTGTGTGTCTAAAGAAATGCAGATCCAGGATTTTGGTTAAAAGRAGTATATTCTTCAAGTTATACATATTTATTCACTTTTTGGAGCTGCACAAAACRTGTTTTAAGATGCAAGGATTACTGCAGTCTAAAATACAATATTTTACAGTCTAAAATACAATATTAAATAAATACCTGTTTTCTTCAGCTTTTATCATTGCTAAAGAAGAAAGGAAGAAACACAATTAAAATATAGCATCAAAAGAAGTCTATATATAGAAAGAAAAAAGTTATCATTAACATTTATTAACAGGACTTAACAGAAGTATAGCTTTAAATATTTGTTACTATTTTAATATTTGTATTGTTACTCTATTCAGACTAGAACAAAACTCAGAATATTAAAGATTAAAAATAATTTCTCAGTCTAAAATTCTTTTGGCTTTAAAACACAGTCATTGATTTTTTTTTTCTCCTCAAATCWAAGTCTTATTCTCCTTACAATACCAAAGAATGCTATGCCAGAAGTTAAAAACAAAAGCACACCTATGCAGTATGCTCTAGGTGTCCCTGCTTGAGCAGGGGGGTTGGACTAGATATCTCTAGACACCCCTTTCAATCTCAACCATTGGTGATTCTGCGATCATCACGTGCCATTTGTGCAAAAGGGAGCACTGCCTTTATAATATATAAAGACACTATAGTTTTACTAATATTTTTTGCTAAATCAGTTTCCCTCAAAATGTTTTGTCAAAGATTAAAAGAAAATTATTCCTAGCAAAAGAAGCATATACCTAAACAAAGCCCTACACGTGATTTTGGCTTTCAGCAGACAACTGACATTACTGACTATAAGACATATTGCTGTTTTACAACCCTCCTCCACCTTCCCTACACAAGTTCTTTAATGTTACCTTCAAGATCCTCAAGTTCTTTGGGCTTTGCCCAGCGCGATTCCTTTGTTTGGGAATTATAATAGTAGGGCTTTCCAGAATCAGATTTGTACTCTTTCCAGGGGCACTTGGACAACAATTGCTGATGGAAAGAAAACAAAAAACATACAGCGGTATTCTAAATTAAAATCAAACACTGAGAAATAATTTAAGGATCAATGAATATAAGGCATATACTTCCCAGTTAAGATCTCCCCTAGCAACACAAACATGTCACTTATTGAGGTAGCAAAGAATGCAATCTTTTTCATAAGGAAAAATCTATCTAAATTCRATAAAAAATGTTTAGAGTTTTTGCCCCCCTTGCAGCTTCCATTTTTACCAATGTAACAAATTCAATAGCTGCCTCAAAATAAGGAATCGTTGCAAAAATGTTTATAAGAGGTTGCTCCCAGGGAAGGAAATCTATCTGCAGAGTTCTCCTGCTGCATGTGAATTACGCTAGCAAACTCCTGCCTGCACACGCACTCTGTACACACAGCGCAATAATCTCCATGTGACCTTGCTTTACCTCGGCAGGCGTTTTGAGATCGTCTGGCTTCTCCCAGGTGGACTGTTTTGTTTCAGTATTGTAGTAGTATGTTCTTCCATCAGGTGATTTGTGCTCTGTCCATGTAGATTTCTAAGCATATAAAATATGCCATTAATGTGGAGTAGTAACTAGGAGTGAAATGCTATCAAAAGCTATTTTAAAAGCAAGTGCAAGAGGAAAGCAGATGAACCTGTTTAGAATGCTCCTCACTAACAGAACTGTTGGTCGTGGCGGTTTGCTGGGCTGCACAAACGACGGGATGTGTTGTCTGAGGGTGAAATAAAACAGAGGTCTGAAAAGACATTCCAGTTACAATCTGTTCTCTATTTGCATGTGTATGCAAATATATTTAAAAAAACAGTATTGAAAGCAGCAAAATAAAATCTAAACAAATTCGACTTCAGTGCTCGATTCTGATTCTGCAAGTTCCAACCCCCTTGTTCTATTACACAGAACACAAGTTTCACAGAAATAAAAGGGTAATCGATAACAAATGATATATTTATCAAAAAAGCCAAGTACAAGGTTTTCAAATTTGKAACTGACCAAAACCTACACTACGATATCTTAAAAACAGCACGACTGGGACACCCCAATTATTAGCTGTTCAAGCAAATTTCTTTCTCGTCTTAGAAACTAAAGGGAAATGTTTAAACAGATAACTGAATACTGGCATAACTGCAAATGCAAATCTGACAGTGAAAGTTGATCGTGGTCATTCACTGTGTCAAGTGAGGTAAATTTACTTGCAAATGGCACCTGTTTACCTACCTACAGAGTCACACTGGCTTGTGATCCAAAAATGTCACCAGTGAGTTGTGCTACGGCGCCAGGGCTACTCCACGGCTGCTCCTCTCTTTGTGGCAGAGTGACAACTTAAATCACCTAACAAAGTGATCCCATCTACATATCACCATGCTGCTTGCAATAAAYGTCAAGTCCCTTCCATCCAATCCAATATTTGTTCCCATTTACCCCATGTATCCAGGATTAACTCCTATTTAAGCTACTAAACTGTTATGTTCCCAAAATATAAATATTTCCAATATTGTCAAGACAGAGAGAAATAAAAAAATAAGCTGCATTACCAATTAGCAGCAAAATGTATTGACAGCGCTAAGTAATAACCATTCTTTTAAGGTTAATACTTAAAACTCCTCAAGAATCATTGATGTTCTCAAAACAATTGCTAGCAACTATTTAGGCTACTGTCTTTTTATTGTTGCAGTATTTGGTTACAGAAGTCTCAGTGAACTCGCATTCCTAATGAAGGGCCCAGTAAAGCACAAAGGACCGAGTGGTGCCAGAACCCAAACCTGCCTTCTCTTGCTGAACACAGCTGYGTCACTGCCTGAGTTCTGCTACACACATCAACTGCCAAATCAAAGAGATTTATCAAAATATGCAGCATAAAGTCACCAAATGTAAGTAAAGTTTAGTAATCACTGTGAAGCAGCAGAAGAAAAACAAACAAAAACACCACACAGTCTTTACTCTTTGTCAGTGCAAATAAAACCAACTGTACCTTGAATATCTATCTAGCCTGACACCTGCAAAGAAGTAAATCTGAAGTAACATTGGCATCTAGCTTTTCAATTCCTTGCTATTAAGAAAAAACAAAAACGCACCCACAGCTCAGACACGAAGACACACAAGACGGCAATCCCCAATTTCAAACACACTAGAAAGCAGAATGACTTTAGTTCAACCTAAATTCCACTCAACAACAAAATACTCCTTTGCCACAAGCAACAGATTCTGAAAATCATACACATTCAAGGCAGAACAAAAAGCACTTCAGAGCTATTAATTTTAACTAATTACAGACTGGTGGCTAAGGTCTCCAGGACTAAATACATACATAAGTTACATATAAACAAAGAAAAGGAGAAGGTAAGCTTTGTTTTAAACCTGTAAGCCCAAGTATACACCACAAATCTATCAACAACTTAGAGAATTTTGCTTTCCACTTACTTGAGTTCCAGGTGGTGTTACACCTTAAAAAAAAAAAAAGGAGATTTTAAAGTTAAAACTCAAAAGTATACAGTGTCTGAGAGAAAAATGTTCTTTGGATAAAATGTATCCAACACATCTCTTTCCAGTTCAGATAATAGCAAAATAAGCAAGCATGGCCTCCACTCTCCAGCACAATTTATTTCTAAGTATACAGCCATTATTCAGGCAAGCAAGCAAGGTTTTGATTAACTTATAAAAAGGTATAAGCACAAGCTGGAATATGTCCCTAAATAAGCACTGCTGGAATTTTTACATTTTGAGAAGTTGACAGAAAGTAATTGGAGCACAGATCCACATCTACAAACTACGGACACTGCCAACAAATCTTTTATGTTTAACACATGCACTGCTGTTCTCTAATCACAAAAGTTAATTAGTTGTAAATGTCCACCAAAATCCAAAAACACTGTTAAAAAAGTCTGCTTCCCAGGCTGCCATGAATATTGAAAAAATACCTTGCACAAAAAAGTATTGTTTTAGAAGTATGTTTAAGTATTTCACCAAAATCAGGTTAAGTACACCAAAATAACAAGTTTGTTAATACTCACCAACTTGTGCATCCATACTGCTCACTCCTGGCTGTAGAAGCAATCAAGAAATGCTTAATTAAAATTGCATTGAATGCTTAAGGCATTAAAAAAGCTACATGTCCAACAAGTCCCTTCAGCAGCAAAATTCTCTGTGACCTTAAATATGGATTCTTAGTCAGTCATTACCGACTTAATTATAACTGCTTCTTAAAGAAATGATTAGGGAGATCAGACTAATTTTCAAAAAGGCAATACACGCAATAATCTACACCAAAGGGGCTCTTGACATCATTCTAGTATATCTTTATCTCCAAAATGAGTAGTTCTGAGGCAGTGGGGTGAGAAGGATGGGGGGTGGGAAAGGAGATCCTCCATTTCTGTTGCAGTAGCTTAGTATAATTGCACTGTAATTGCCAAAAGTATGCACTTTTGCACACACAGAAGTGTTGGACTTGTGCATTCCTATAATTGCTGAGAGCAACTAAAGGTCTTAGTGACATTGAGAGACTTTCAAACTATGAAAAAGACCAACATAATTCAAATAAAAGTTTTCCCAAATTCTTTTTTTTTCTTTAGACTAAAAGACAGCCTACAGGCTTATCATCCATTAGGGTTTACCTTTCAATTCTCTTCTGAACTTTATTAACAAAAACCCTCATGCAAAAACAAACTAAAAATGTGTTGAAATTATATTACATCAAATCAAAAAGCATCAAGCAGGATAAATCATTCCAAAATTTGAAGAGTCTAAATCCTATTCTGTGTATTAAAAAAATCCAGCTACTCTGTGCATGTATGTCTATGCTCTTAAATAATCCTTTATCTCTCTTCTTGTGGCTATTTTTATTTTCATCATCTTGAGGAGTTACGTTAGTTCTACTCAGTTCCTGGAAGCACTTGCAGCTTGCTCACTTGCAGTTCCAAGCAGAAGATGACTCTTGCAAGAGCCCTCTGAACCATCAACACACTCCCGTGAAACATGGTCAAGACCARTGAGCACTGACATCAACATAAATAATCCAAGTGGCCTCAACGAGATTTCATTTTACACTTGGAAAGGACAGCATATTGCTCATCAGCTATCCATGAAAGTGATCAGACAGCTACAAACTTGATGAAATTTCTTTTTTTTCACCTACAAATGGTTTTAGACTAGGAAAAGCAAAAACTTTCTTGCATTTCCAAAAGTCTTTCTGGGCTGTGGTACACCTCCAACAGCAGGTGTCTATTCCTCCAGACAGAAKAGACAGAATTCTTTCACAAGAGGTACCTTCTGATATCACACACACGATCTCCAGTAATCACTGCCAAGAGCTTAAAAGTGAAAAGAAAAAGCTGAAATACCCTGCTGTGCTATTTTGCCTCCTAATATCACATATCCAGCTCAATCATAATTTATTTCCAAGACAGATCTGGGAGCAGAAAGATGCGCCTTCTCTCTGAAATACTGAAAATACACAGTAGATATTCAAAGCTAGTTAACACTACTGCTCAGCCCCAACCACATCTGGGCGTAACATTTTGAAGGTTTTTCTCACAAAGACTGAAATTCTTTCAAAATTTCCCATGAGGACCACCTGCCAGAAATTCATGCTCATTTCAGAAGTGGGGAGAAGGGTAAATCACTCGAATCTGCCTTTATTTAAATTGCTCTAGGGTTGTAACATACACTTGTGTCCCATTAGACAACAGAGAACAGCAGTAAAAAAAAGCAAACTTCCAACTAACAGGCAGATTCTCTGTTATATGCCCAAATACTAAAGATAACTCCCCACTCTTAAGATAATGAATAACCTCTTTCATATGAGTTTTCCATTACCTAGTGCATGCCAGAGTGAGATTATGCTTGGGATACGCTTGGGATCTCTCTCACCACCATAGCTGAGATTGGCCAACAGGCTTAAGAACCCAGGGTGAGGACTGGTGGGTGGATGGGTTAATACAGTATACCTGGTTACACACAATTCAAGAAAACAAAGGCATACTTGCGTATACCTGCATTAAGTAATGAAAGCAACGGAAATGAGAAGTTAAACTCACCGGAACCGTAGGCTGCATAGCAGCTTGGGACATGTGAGACATCATCATTCCAGGCATTACTGACTGCATCATCCCAGGCATCTTTAAGTAAACAGTATTACAAATACACCTTATGATACTCCTAATAGCAAATGCATATACATATATTTACACATTCGTTCRTTATAAAATAATCACACAGCACCAGTTTCTAACCCAAAGTTCTAAACACTTGGCAACACTTGAGTTAAAGAAGGTGCAGAATTCTACTTCCCTTCACTACACTCCTACAGAATGGACATTAGGAAAATAATCCACGATAATAATTATAAGTAAAGACAATCATCTAAATTACAACCTATAACAACCTAGCTAATTACAATTAGCTATCATGCTATTGGTTGAGTCCTCCTTATCTTTTCAAATTGCATTATTGTGAGAGCAGCAGCTTTAACACGCTGCGGAACCATGCTGGGGCCTACCAAGCCTGTACACACGAGCTTTAGCTCTATTCAGGGTGCTGCAAAGGAAGCAAATGTGTTGCCGGCAAACACTCGTGGGCCCCTCTCTAAGGCTGGCTCTTCATGCCATCCTCCAACGAGTCTGCTCTRACCTCTGCTTTGCAGACTCCACTCCTGGCAAAACACTGCAAMAAGCAGCAGCATCGAAGGATCTGTTCTTTCAAGGAAGAGAATTTGCTGCTTTCAGAAGTACAAAACTTCACGAGAAACTATGTGGAAAAGGACCTTCCTTGAGTCTGGCTACTCTGCCTGTCAACTCACTTTCAAACCTACTAATCTGAAAAGCCAAATTTGCTTTTGAAGCTATATGCTACATACTAGTACCACCAGTATATGACACAGAACCATTCACAGCTCTAGGATAATAGAGACTAAAAAAAAAATTCTCTACCATTACTACAAMAACACTACTTTATGTTTCTAGTTTTCAGTAGGACCTTCTTGAAAATCTATGGCAAAACTATCAAAAAGGTTTACTAAAAGACAAATTACGGATTCACATCTATCATTATTTAAGTTCCACATTTTTGGAACTGTGAAAATATTTTAATTACCTGTTAAAATTGGAAGATTTTTCACATGGATAGGAACGGTTGCATAGAACATCCTGAATTTTTCCCATTACTGTTTGCAAGCTACTGCATGAGACTTATGTACCTCAGAAGTTTTCAGACCACTTTAGGGGAGAGGGGAAAAAAAAAAAAAAAAAGAAAAGAAAAATCATTCAGTAAGAGCACCTTACCTGCCCCATTGGGGGTCCTCCCATGGGAGGCATCATCTGAGGCATCATCCCATGCGGAACGGGGGGCATATTAGGCGGTCTTTGGCCCATGGGGTGCATCCCCATGGGCGGGTAGTGCGGCATGCCCGGGTGCCCCATCTAAAAGCCATGAACAAACAGAAGAATTACCACAATGACAGAACCCCCTAGAACACAAAAGCCTAAAGATTAACASTCCGCTGGAAATAACAGAGCCTATTTTAGCTTAAAACAAACAGCAAGCACAAAATTATAATGAAACGAGTCAATTCTAGGGTTAACCATACTCCAACAAAGCACTCTTCTAGAATCTGCAGAGCAGGAGATTATCAGCATTAACAAATACATTTAAACCTTCAMAACCAACCACCAAGTGAAAACAAAAATCTGTCTTTCACGCTATAGGAAAGAAACACATACAGAAAGATACTGAATATGTGGAAGCGACTACTTCTGCACACTTGGTTCAGGTTGATGCAAGCACCCTCGGGCAGGGCGGAGCAGTCAGCCAGATGGCCAAAACGTCTTCTGCTTCTTATGTCTGGGCCTGAAGCAGCTTCTCCCTTGACTGTGATCCCTGTCTCTGTTTTTTCCTAAAATCTGAACCCTGGGGTTGTTCTTAGAACACTCACACAAACAGGACTAAAAAAGCTGGCATATGGGAAGAAAACTGTTCTGTAAACTCAAAAAATCCCATGGTGGAGTTTCTTTCCATATGCAGATACTGTTTAATTACCAGAATGCACTAAAACCCTTCTATTCTGGTCAGCAATATTAAAGTTGGCCTTGGAACAAAGGCTGAGGAGCACTTTATTTTTCAAGACAAAACTCCATCTCTGCACCTTACTCATCCACCAGCTTACTAACAAGARCAGCATTTCTAAACACAATGCTTTTTGAGGAAACCCTAGCAAAAAAATAAATAAAAGCAACAACAAAAGGTGACTAACGCGTCGGCGCACGTTAGCAACCCCTCCTCCTCGTGCTTCACGAGCAATGGTTCCGCGAGGACTTTTAGGGGCAGCCCAAGGGCACGAGCGTCTCCGGCGGCTCCTGAAGCCGCCCTGTGCCTGCACCTACGCCCAGGCTCGCGCGCGCGCCTATACGCGCGCCTATGGAGCAGGCTGGCGCGGCCCGCGGCGATGCCGGCGGCCCCCCGCGCCGCCACTCACCATGAGGGAGCCGCGGTCCACGCCGCCGGGCCGCATGGAGGGGCTGAGCAGGCTGCCGCCGCCGCAGCGGCCGAGCAGGCGGCCCCGGAGCGGCTGCCGCGCCGCGGGGCCGAAGGGCATGAGCGGCTCGGGCTCGCCGCGGGGCGGGAGCAGCGGCGCCAGCAGGCTGACGGGCTTCCCCGCCGGCCAATCCGGGCGGCCCGCCAGGCGGCTGCTCTTCGGCGATTGGTCCGCGGCGGCRGCGGCGGCCACGGGCCGCACGGCGTCCCCCGGCGTCAGCTGCATGAGCGGCGGCGGCTTCGGCAGGGAGAAGGGCAGCGGCTGCGGGGAGGCCGCGGCCGCCGCCGCCGCCGAGTCGCCGCCGGACATGGCGGCCTCCGCGCGGCCTC